TCCCCCGATTCCCCCGATCCCCCCGATTCCCGCTTCTCAATCGGCAGCACTACCTGGTGCAGGCGAACAAATGGCCAAGCACGTACGCTCTCACCCAAGTGGCAAAGAAGTCAGGAACTAACGCATTTCTAGGCGGGAATTTAAATCACGCCGGGCGACTATGAATTGCGCCGGCAAGCGCAACGGCCTCTATGCTCACACCACCTCCTGTGCCATGTATTTTTTATGTGTGTCTGGGAAGGCTACGGAACTTACCTGTCACTGGCCATTTATATTCAACTGCCGCATAGGTGGATGTGTCGTCGACGGAGACGTTCCGTGCGTATTCGATTCAACTGGGGAAGGAATATGCAATCTGTCACTCTAGTGTGCAATTTTGAAGGAGACAGGATGGTTTCGGTAGTTGAACGCGATGAATTGGCACTGTTATTCGGGCGCAACAGGAACTGGAATCCAGAATGATGACTATCTCCTTCAGACCTACATTATTTCAAAGCACAGCAAAACAGTAACCAGGTCCTAGGTAAACAACTTATTCTACGCATGCTTTGAAGCCTTGCGACCTGTGCCATTTCGTCTAAGAAAACGAAGTGACGCGCCAATTCTGTTCCTCGGACCACTTATATGTACCTATAGATGGTAGTTACCTGTTGTATGTACAATTGGACTTTCCACAAATGAATCTGGTGCTGAGGTCTGCAAATGAAATAGCAATGAAATACACGATCAGGGGCTCGATTGACTTTTTTAGTGGCTGTCTGGACGCACGGCCCAGGGCCAGGAATCAGAATCTAAATTTGTGCTACATAGTGTAAGTGGAAGGTCGAGTAGACCGACCGGCCTAGGCCTCGGATAGTTCCGGGAAATAATCTAGATTTCTTTGCTCTAGCGAACGCTGTGAAAGAAACATGGACGGAGAGAGAACCGATTCCAAATGTTGGTATCGTAACCCGACGCCATATCTAGGATTCCCGCTCAAAACCTGATGCGCACCAGTCAGCAGAGTAGGACAACGGCCGTGTCCCGGGCGAATCCAGTGGCTTCAGTTACGGCACAACGGTAGTCCGGTCATTTTCGATAGTCCAAAGTGATACATGACCCTAAACAGTCACAGGTAGTTCCTCTTCCCCTTCATACGGTACTTACACAAGGACCCCTACCGTCGACTAATCAGTCAATTCGCTCGACCAGACGCAGCGTCTTCAAAACTGTGCTCGTCCCGCGTTTCCAGCAGCTATACCGGAAGCATCCTGTCAAACCCAAGGCCCGGTAATCCCTCAACACGCATGGGTGCACTGATGGAATTGACAATTTAGAGGTTCCTTCGGCGGAATGGAATCCTGCATTCTTGTAGGTAGATGGGTAGGATGGGATATACCCGTATCGATACTAGATATCGGCACTGGAAACGGTGGAGGACGTGATATTGGTACTACTTCTGGGAGTCCATCAATCGAGCGTTCAAGAACACGTGGATGAACCTCTCACGACGAGCACGGGGAAGGCGGACATAGGAATATCGGGTAGGCGAAAGGATCGGTGTAGAGAACGGAATAGAACGGAACTTTTGTTGGTATCAAACCACAACCTAATCGAATCTAAGTCTCCCCCGAAGTGTGGTATGGTATCTCCCCTTTCCCCCTTTCCTCCTTTTTCTACCCACACCACGCCCTAGCCCACCACCCACGAATCAAACAAGCAAAACATCCGCAAAAAACAAACACCATTCCACCCATCCGCGATCCAGCAAAACAAAATCAAGCTCTTGGTGTGGTATAATGCAATCATGAACCCGTCCGTCCGTCCGTCGTAATTTTCTTATCTCGAGCATCAATCGAGGGGGGTATAATTTTCCCAGCGCAAGCAAAGCGACACATCAATTTTATAGCCGGTGGAAAAAAGCCGGCCGAGGGGAATTGGAGAGGAAAGGGATGAAAATGGAATGAGAAACAGAGTAGCGGGGAAGGGGCGCGGAAAGCAACGAGGTGATGATTCTCAAGCTCGCCAGGCAATGACCCTCGTCATTTCCGCTGTTTTCCACCCCTACAAAGCAAGGAACAGAAAGCAACGCAGAGCAGAGCGAACAGAAAAGCAACGGCAAAACAATAGCAAAAGCTGGGTATATTTGGGTATTTCGTGCTTTTGGTACCGTACCACCCGCGTAGTTCCCGCCCGTCATGATCTCGCATCAGAACTTTTTCACATCCCCTCGCATCGCATGGCACGTCCACCTCCACCCACCCATCTCGCGATCCAACGGGATTTTAGGGTATGATGTATGATCTACCGCGGCGGCCCAATCACCCCCGGAAACCCATTCCCCGTCCCCACGCTATTCGCCGTACTCGGCCGCCCGCTATCCACCGACGCGCGTGGATCGTATCGTGGCGTCGCGTCGCCGGGACCGCTGTTGCTGTTTCCCCCGGGGCCATTCCACCCGGGCTTGCCGGAATACGCGGCGGACGTCGGCGTTGGCGGGCCCCAGCCGGCGACGGCGCTGGAGGGCGGCATGCCGTGGTGGTTCGGCGCGGGGCCGTGCGGGTGGGGGTTGTGACCATGGTAGACGCTGGAGGTGGCGCCCCCGTGCATGGGGTGGATGGGGCCAGCGAGGGAGTGGGAGGAGTGGGAGTGGGGGTGGAGGTTGTGGCCGAGGCCGGAGACGATAGGGGCAGTGGCTAGGGAGGCGGAGGAGGCGTTGAGGGAGGCAGAGGAGAAGACGGAGGGGGTGGAGGGGTGGGGAGGGAGGGAGAGGACTTCGTCTTCGGGGAGGTTGATGCCGGAGTCGTTCCAGGGGTTGCGGTAGCCGGAGGAGGCGGACTCGAGGGAGGCGAGGGAGGCTTTGGACGCGTTGCTGCTAGCGTGCTTGAAGAGACTGCCGGGGGAATTGCTGCCGGTGCCGGTGCCGTGGTTCTTGCGCCGGTCGATCAGACTGCTGAAGCTGGACATGCTGCCGGGCTTGCGGAACTTGGAGAAGAAGGAGGGGCCGCCTTCCGTGGCGCTTCCGGCGGTGGGATCGCCGACGGCGTCGCCGAACTGGGACCGCGTGGGGCTGTCGGTGGACGCGTGGGGATCGGCGCGGTGGAGGAGCTTGGACTCGAAGAAGGGGAGAGAATCTTCGAAGGAGTCGGATTTCGGACGTGGGATGGCGCCTTGCACAGCCGTGGCGTCGAGACCATGGGCGGCAAGCCGGGTGATGAGGAAATCGATGGCGTCCTTAAGGCCACCGGCGTTGTTGCGCGTATAGGAGAGAGTGAGGGACTCAATGGTTTGAGGTATTGACTCCTTGGTTTCGGCGGAAGAGTCTTCGGACGCTTCGGTTGGCTTGTCGGCGGCTCGAGCGTCGGCTTGGGGTGCAGGGGTGGAAGTGTTGGACGTGGTAGGAGCAGTCGTCGCGGCCGAGAGACTCAGATTCTTGGAAGGGTTCGGATTCAAGCGCACTTCGACGACATATTGCGATTGGAGTTTCTCGGCCACGTCGGACTGGAACTCAGGGGATCGAATGTAGGTCTTCAATTCCTCGTTCGCAGGGAAAGCGAGATCATGGCGCTCAGGAACCATTCCCTAACAAGGTCAGATGTTGTGCACAGGTCAATGATCATGTAGACTTACCAAGAACTCGTCCACCGCTTGTGGCACCTGATACTCTGGCCCACTGACAACCACCACATCGCTCGCCGACTCCGTATTCGGGAAGTTGATCTTACAGTTCCACTTCTTCTCGAGCTCCTCGATCCGCCCCATTTGCGCGATCAGCTCCCGATGATACAGCCGATCGATGACCACCAGCTCCTGCACGAACTCCGCGTCCGCCTTCTCCACCATGTCCATGATCTCCTGCTTGACGAGGTCGAGGTTCTGCGCGTTGCGCGCCGGGGTGCGGCAGATGACGTTGTCGACCTTGATGTCGTCTTCCTCGCGCCCGATGCCGCCGCGGTCCATGGCGTTGGAGAATTTGACGAAGACGGAGTATTTCTTCATGATGCGCTGGATGTGTTGGCCGCCAATGCCGATGATGCGCTTGTGGTATTGGTCGGGGACATGGAACGAGATGGAGGCGGGCATTTCTTGCTCGACGAGTTCGAGGCCTCCTTTAGTCGCCTCGTATTGCTGGCCACGTACGTCGATGTAGAAGTTGTACTCGTTGAATCCGTCGAAGACGATCTGCACGTTGCTTTGACTCATGATCTTGTTGATCTTGCCGTTTTTCTTGCCACTGACGAATTCCTTGTGCTCGTTCGCCAATTCGATCTTCACGCGCATGGTCGATTGCGATTTCTTGACGAAGGGGATGTTGCTGATGACCATGAGGGCGGCCTTGACGGCATCGTCGGAACCGTGGATGTGGAAATTGAGACCCTCGAAGCTAATGTCGGCGCCGGAGTTGATGCAGATATCGGAAAGCATGGTCCGGACGTCGGTTGGGGTCGGAGCACGTGCGGAGGGGTCCGGATGCGTGATCCACCAGGAGGCGCTGTAGAATTGGCCGGCGAGCGCCATAATGTCACGGACCGTCCGTTCAACATTGAGGATATCTGTCCCTTGTACACGAACAATCCCTCGTTGCAGACCAAGCGATGGAAGTACGACGTAGGACCCATTGTTTTCCATGATCTTGCGAACCTTGTCCAATCGTTCCAGAATGATGTTGTCCAACTTTGATGGAGTGACGATGACGTCCTTGACAAAGGCCTTGGTGCTTACTGAGAGGTCGTGGAGGCGCTTCTTGGCTTGTAGAATGGCTTCCGGACTTTCGCCCGTGATAACAATTTCATCCTGCTGTCTCCTGACTCCACCTGGAGGGGTGTAGCCAAATAGCCGGGTGAACGGGGGCGGGAAGTAGATGGCAGTATTCGTGGCCGATTCGATATGCTTGATGTTTCGGCGGGCCTTTCCGCTGATTAACGTATGCATGCTTAATTCCAACATGAGGGCGTCCACATGACGATGAAGCTGTTCTAGTCAGTATCGTATGTCTGAAGTATAGAACTCAAACCCACAATCTGGTCAATCATGGTCAAGACTCTAAGCTTGGCATGCTCCGAGTTCTCCAGATCACCGTAGATGTGGCACCGCAATCGCTGATCCAGGGCGGTCTCAATGCCACCGCTTACGCTCGCCGACTCATCGATGGGCTTCGGATGGAGAAGGAAGATGTCGGCTTTCGTCTGCTTGGCAACTTCGTCCAGATGCTGCAACACCACCGCCTTGACGGCATTGGCCGCGGCATCGAAGATCAACCGCTCATCGATATCGACAGTCGCACAGCGCTATCAACGTCAGTACTACTCCTTGCATACATCCCTCCGAGACCACGCATATCATACCAGGGTAATCGGTGTATCGTTCAAGATCCTCTCCCTCATCCCATGCACCATCTCCGTCTCCCCATACAAACACACATTCGTCACCAACGCCTTCAACGGCCCCCTCTGATACCCCGGAATCGGCTTCGGCTCACTCGACACCACCGTCGCCTGCAACTGCCCCTGACTCGGGTCGCTCAGCACCCGACACATGTTCCGCAGGTGCTCCACGTTCGCGGCGTGGATCGGCAGCTTATGGTTCGGCGTGCCCTCGGGCGTCCCGTCGGCGTGCGTCCAGCGCTCAAACGCGCCCGGCGACGAGTAGATGATCTCCTCGGGGTCCGGGCCCGCGAGGTTGGAGTGGAAGGGCACGTTGAAGGAGAGAGTGATGATGGTGCCAGGAGCGGGGGCGGGGGAGCGGTTCGCGGCGGTAGCAGCGGTAGGGGGAGGGCCGGTGGGCGTGGCATTGGGGGGGAGAGGGCCGGCGGAGTGCGGGGGGTGTTGGGGGCCGGGTCGCTTCATGGGGCTGTTGAGGGACGCGTCGTTGTGGGAGCGGGACATGCCGAAGGAGGGCATGGAGGGCGTCATGCGCTCCCATCCATGGCGGGCTTGGCCGGTAAAGTTTTGGAGCTTGTGCATCGTGAGGGATGGGAATCGGGTGATGGTCGAAGGAGCGATTGGCCAGGATGTTGGACGTTCGGATGAGCGGGATGGTAGGGAGGTTGAAGTGAAGCAGGTTGATTGTGCGTGTGTGGGGGATGGGTATCTCTAAACGACGGAATTGAGCAAGATGAAAGGGAAGAAGAGGGAAAGTGGGAATCAGAAAAGAAGAGATAGAATAGAAAAAGGAACCTGATGGGAATGGACACAGGAACGAGGATAATTCATGGACTTTGGTGGTGGAGGTGAATGGAGGAATGGGATGAAATGGGAGGAGTGAAGGAGTAGAAGGACGTCTGAGAGAGTGACGAGAGAGGAGAGGATCGGGGAGAGCGAAAGAGAGAGAGACACTGAGAGAGAGTTGGGCTTCGTCGAGGCTGAGTAGGTGGTCTGTGCACGCGGATGCCTTGGCGCCTAAGGCTGAAATCTACATTGCTGCAATTCTAGACCTGAAGTGAGCTGTCAGGCTTGAGCTCCACGAATCCACCACAACCACAAGAAACACCGGATCGTCACCATCAGTCCCTTGACGTCCTCCTCAAATCTTCATCACCCATCAGCTCCCATCCTGCTTCTACAGTTCGTATCTCCCTTCCGTTCCCATTCCATCCCCTCCATCCACCCCAATCCACCCCGGCTCGTCCAAATTGGCCCTCCCACCACCCAGCTCCGGGCGGCTAATGGGCGGGGTAGCAGCAGGCACATGCAATCAATCATCCACGTCCCCAGCAATCAACAGGACTACAGGAAGGGGATCAGCCAGCACCGACACTCGGCCAGCTTCCGATTCGGTCATCGGGTATCCGGAGTGTTTCTCGGTTCCCTCAGCTAGTCTTATCTGCCATCAAGGGGATCCAAGCCCATTGGCTCTAGTGCTCCATCATCAAACTTTGGAATTTGGATGCGTGCCCGGGACGCGTCGTCACTCTTCTCGATTATGGCTTCGTCGGACGTGGATGCCGTCCCAGGTGCTACCGTTCCTATTAATTATTAACCAGGAAATCTCCGCCCAAGGGCTTGAAACTCGAATCGAGATGCAAATTGCCATCACCTCCTTCATGGCTCCTTGGCGGGCCGCTCAGTCATCAAATCCTTTGTTCTTCAGCTCTGGGCGGGGACCGGCTGGGATCCCGGAATTGTTAGAGCCTTACAGCCTGAGGTGTCAGTACACTACAGTACTTGGTATGCGGGCTCCCTGCATCAGAATTCCGTTCAATTCGATAGGTCTGGATATCCAGTTGTCCACGCGTCCTATCCACAACTCCACATGCTCCGCCCAGAATGCCCAAATGCTCGATACCTATCCCAAATTCCCAATGCTATGCTCCTCAACCCGAGATGCTCTCCCCAATTCCTCCCATCCCCCGCCCAACAATCAGAATTTAGTCCCAACCCGAACCTCCGCTTCTCACTCTCACCCCTGATCCACCATCTTTCCGCCCCCAGTCTAAGCCTCCAAGCACCTAATAGCGATGCCAGATTGCCAGGAACCTATCCCGCCGGACTCGCAACCTCCGGGCGATGGAAAGCAATAAGTATGTCGTTGTTCGTTTCCCTACCGTGATTGACTCCGCCCTGCGTCGGGAGGAAATAGTGATATTTATGTGCATCCGAACTCCCAAGTATCGAGAACGGTAGGAACGGTAGTTAGTACTATATAAGCCGTCCCGATGCTTGGCGAACGAAGTTGGCTGGAGAGAACCAGTAGGGGCGGAAATGTGGACGAGGGAGACGGGAGGATGGAAGGTAGGTAGACAACCTCAAACCACGTAGACAGGCGAACGAGGATGATGAAAATGGTTATATAAGCGGTAAATGAGACGCAAAGAAATTGATATATTACAACGCTGCCTGTCTCGAAAATGCAAATCGAGCGCTCTCAAACCACCATCCCATGCAATGCCAGATCCAAACCAAACACAACCCAGGCAGCCCGTGCAATGCGACAGCGATTCATATCCTTAACCACGACAATGCCAACCACCACCAAATTCCCAAGTCCTCACTCTCCTCAATACCGATACGCCACCCTCCCCCGCTCATACTCCCCTCCCATCCCCCCCTCCTCCACATACCTCCCCCCCCCAACCACACTAACTTCCCGCCGCGGCACATACTCCCTCGGTGCCATCCCCTCCTCCAGATACTCCGGCCGTCCCATCTCCGGCCGCATACTATACGCCCTTGTCCCCACCGGAACATATTCCCGCTCCCTCTCTCTCTGAGGATACCCCTCAGCCACCCGCTCCCGCTCTGCCGGCCGCATCGAGTACTCCCGCTGTCGATACCGCACCTCTGGTGCCGGAAGGTACTCCTCCTCGCGCTCCACCGGCGCAGCCACGACCCGCCGCATCGGCGGCGGCGGCGGCGGCATGAGGAATGCGTCTTCGGGGTCGTACGGGTCGGGCGCGCGGCGCGGTGGCGGGACGCTCGCCATGTGGCGATGGGATGCGGGGACGGGTGCGGGCTCGTGGGTGTATTCGCGGAATTCGCGGCGCTCGTAGTCACGGCGGGGCTGGGAGTCGTAGGCGACGGGGGCAAGGGGCGCGGAGGCGTAGTATTCGTTGCCGTATTTGTCGTAGACGATGGTGGGGCGGGTAGGGACGGGAGGTGGGGCCATGAAGGAGGGGGAGAGGATGCGAGAGGGGGCGCGAGGGGCGTCGGGGTAGTGAGTGGGTGGAGAGCGGGAGCGGTCGGAGCGGATGTAGCGGGGTGCGGAGGGGCGGACGGATGACTCGCGGGCTGTGAGGTGTTGGGGCGCGTCGACGTAGTGGGACACGGCGCGGACGGGCCGGATGCTTGGTGAGGCGTAGCGGATGGGCTCACTGGGAACCGCTCCAGGGGAGTAGGGTCGTCGGGCATATTGGAGGCTGGCGATGCGGCGGAGGTCGACGTCGTCACGTTCTCGACGGTACATGGGTGCGGGTGAATGGACGCGGACGTAGCCGGGAGGGACGCCATCGTCGACGTAATAGGCTGGGGCGGGACGAGGGTCGTTGTAATAAACCCGGCGGCGGAATTCCCGTGGCGACACTTCTTCGATCTCGTCCGCGTATGGAGCCGGAGCCGGACGACGCGGCGGTTCGGCTTCTGGGAAAGAGGCAAACGGTGGTGGAGAGACAGGCTCTTCTTTGATGACCGGTTCGGGAGATCGTGCAATGCGTTTTCCGGATGGACGACGGGTCTCCTTCTCGGCATCGGGGCGGTTCTTGCGCTTGCGTGGGTTGACCACGTTCCGCTGTGGTCCACGTGGTGAGCCGTTTTGCAAGCCCGAAGACCCGCTATCTGCCCCCCCTCGAGCAATCTCGGACATTGGGGAATGCGGCCCGCTCGGTTGGTTTGCTTGCGGTCTGTTGAAAGCTAGTGGAGAGACACGGGCAGGTTGGGGAGCAAACGGAGACTTGATTCGATTGCGAACGATGGGGGCATCGTTTGGAGAAGCGGGACCTTGGGGTCGAGACCCTTCGGCGTACGTAGAATGTTGAGGCACATAACGGTCATACTCGGGTGGATTAGCAGCATCGCGTGTTCGATTGGGCGAAATGACGGGGAAGTCATCTGCTTCTGGAGGTGAGTACTCCGATTCCTCCCTCTCGCGCTGTTCTCGAGGTTCTTGCCCAGATGGCCCTGTGAACATGGTGAGTGAAATTCGTCGAGGTTGGAATAGGACCTTGCAAAAGTCAGACTGCCACCCTTACCATGAGCCGGACCTTTCCCTTTCGCACGTCGACTCTGAGGAGTCGCTTTGACCGAGTTGTCAAGAATCTCGCCTTCTTCTCCATTTGAACCAACGTCTGTCGACCAGCTGTTGGCCTGGCTAGAGTAGTAAGAATTCTCATCAAATGACTCGGTAGGCGAATGAGCAGAAGCAACCTTCAACCCCGAGACATGTTTTACAACCTCATGCGCTTGGCCCAGCGTGTCCGCGACGTCGAAATTGGCATCGGCCGTCTCCACGCCAAACTCCACCGTATCACCGGTAGGTCCCTTCCTTATACCAGAATTATCCTTCAAAGTGCGTTCCACGCGTTGTCGTTTGAGGTTGATCTCGGCTCGGATCAGTCCATCGGACTTCTGAAGGAGCACCGGATCAATCTCATGCGTGGATTTGGGGCCGAACGCCGGATGGTCTGGAGAATACGGGGACGCGATCGAGGTGGTTGGGGTAGGATCATAGGCCTTACTCGATGCTTGGTTAGCAGCTACAACACTATTCTGCATCTCTGGCAGATGACCGTTGGTTCGACCTGCAGATACGACAGGACGGGAAGTCGGTGTTGCGGATGCGCTGTGGCGCGAACCGGCAACGTTCAGGTTTGGCAGCTGGAGTCGAGGATGTTGCCCTGAGAGAACATCGTTCTGAACCACCGACAGCTTGTCATAGAACGCGGTCCAAGGATTGGCAGCATTGTTTGCTGGTACGTGAAGTCCATTCACCGGTAATGATTGCATATTGCAAAAGAGATGGCGAACCGCAATGGTTCGATGAATGGCTTGATACCCGTGTTCTTTGACACGTTGTTAGACGAGCGAGCGATGCGACTTGTTGTAGCAGGAAAGACAAGTGGTTCTAAAGGACATGATAGATCCAATGAAACTGGCGCAAGAGAAAGCCAAATGTCAAACCTGTTGGTCAGTCATTATCGACAGCAAAAAGGGTAGAAGTAGGAGTGGGAGAGAGAAAGAAGAAAGAAGAAATGGGTTATGGGAGAGAGGAATTATTGGAATTTCGACGGCAAGCAGCAGCTCCGAACGAATTACATAGACAGTTGCACGTGGTCCGAGCGTATTCACTCTGTTCCCTTTAAATCCCTTAGTACTTCCCTGACTCCCTGAGGCCTGTGTTCCCTGTGCTCCCGGTGTTCCCTGCGTTCCATCATCCATGCCGAGGAAAGCCAATATCGATTAAGTCATTCGAGTCCGGAAGGGTCATACAGAAATAGATGGATCAGGAATAAATATGTTCATCGTGCCCTTACTCGCTGCTTATTCCATACTGTAGGCGAGGGTTGATACTGGACGTAGTCACAATGGCTACATCAAACCCTGCCCCTGCCGACAAGAGGGCGGTTTTCTTTTTTGATATTGATAATTGCGTGAGTCTTCAACATGTCGTTCTTGTTATAAAGGAGTCATATCACTCATAACCCCTAGTTATATCCGAAGAGTCTTCGAATCCACAACCATATGAGCGTTCTGATAGGTATGGATCATGTTCATGGTTCCCATATCTGGTCCTTACGTAACCTAATTTCATTTAGACAAGTATTTCGAAACCCATCTCGGCATATCTCAAGCTGAGGCATATGAGTTGCACATGAAATACTACACCCAATATGGACTTGCAATAGAAGGGTTGGTTCGTCACCATAAAGTCGATCCGTTGGATTACAACCAAAAGGTGGACGATGCGCTGCCGTTAGAAGACATAATCAAACCTAACCCGACTCTACGAAAGTTGCTGGAAGACCTCGATACAGACAAAGTCCGTCCTTGGTTATTGACCAATGCTTACGTCACACACGGTCGACGAGTGGTCAAGTTACTTGGCGTGGACGACCTGTTCGAAGGTCTCACCTACTGTGATTACGGAGCAGAGAAGTTTGTCTGCAAGCCGAGCACGGAGATGTTTATGAAAGCGATGCAAGAAGCAGGTGTTGACGACATCAAGTCCTGCTACTTTGTTGGTGAGTATATCCTAAGGCCCCGCATGCAAAAGCTATTTGTCCTAACTCAAGACTAGACGATTCGGCCTTGAATGTTAAAGCTGCCCGAGCACTGGGATGGTCGTCAGTCCATCTGTTGGAGGATGCGGAGCCAAAGCATGCAGACGAACCCAGGGAGATGCAAATCAGGGACCTCGAGGATCTACGGAATATCTTTCCGCAATTCTTCAAGTCATCCAGTTGAGCATCATTCATACCGGAGTCGGGTTTGGGCATTACGGTACTTTTCAAAGCGATGCAATTGGGGTATAAATGTCTCTATCGGGACTGTCCAAATAGACAATACATGGAAGATAGATGGCTCGGCATTCAGAGTCCTCAAGCGCCCGCTCAGGAAATATGTGTCCACTATAATCACGCGCGCCTTCCAACTCCTGCAGTCTATAATCCAGACTTTAAGCCCTCTCCTTACAGTCCTTCCCGCTCTCCTCCGTCATACTCTTCCCATACTCCTCCCACAGCCTCCCCACCCCCTCCCCAAACAACCCCTCCCAAAACCTCTCCTCCTCATAATCCTCCCCCTTCAACTTCTCATTCACCCTCCTAACACTCCCCTCCCCAAACCGCCCCTCCAAATACTCCAAAAAATACCCCGTATGCTGATACCCCGCGTCCCACTCCCCATCCGCCTCCCGCTTCCAGTGCGGCGGCACATACCGACACCGCAACCGCACCCAATCCGCCACCCCCTCAATCAACCCCCCCGGCGCCGTCCCCCGCGCGTCCCATTGAAAGCAATGCACCATCTCATGGCACACCACGCCGCAGATCTCCGCCTCGATGCGCGCCTCGGAGATCCCCGCGATATAGTCCGTGGAGAAATGGATCTCCTTATGGTCGGCGTCGAGGTCGGTGCCAGTGGTGTAGGCGACGCCTGGCATGGAGCGGAGGATGAGAGTGACGGAGCGGGTGGGCGGGACGGCGCACGTCCGGGTGTAGAGGTGGGAGATGACGCTGGAGACGCAGGTGGAAAGGAGGGTACCGCAGTTCGGGGTGGAGAGGAAGCGTTGGGCGCCGGGGGAGGAGAGGTCGCGGAGTTCGAGGCGGAGGAGGGGATGGATGGGGGGAGAAGGGGGGGGGAGGGTGGTGGAGGGGATTTGGTAGTAGATGGGAGAGGGCATGGTTGGATGGGATAGGGGTTATGACTACCTCGAGTAGATTTTATATTAACTAGTTGTTGTCGCTTTTTGAATGCCATATTTCTTGGGATGCGATTGCATTCAGCTCTCGAGGTTGGGGTCGTCGTTATATGGCTTCATGACTCGATCACACCGAAGGGAGGGCACGACATGAGTCATGCGTCCCGCCTCGAGTGGGAACTGGGAAGCCTAGTTACTCAACCAAAGGCTGCCTTCCTAAAAATAAACCACAGGTCTCCTTCATTTGAATCATTTTACACCATTGGTCTAATTATAGTCACGTGACCAAAAGAATCCTGCGATAATATTGGCTGTATTGGATATCGTACACTGATACAGGAGGCGCGAATCAGTCAGCGGTTCGCCCATAAAGAGCCTTGAGGAACGACGCTCGAGTTGGCGATTGTGAATTCCAAAACGGCACTCGAATCATTCACAGAAGCATCACGAAAGGTTTGCGGTTCATTGGTTCATGATTGGTCCGTATTCCTAATTAAATTGTTTTTAGAATAATGGCGACCTACCCAGTTCGGTTCGAGTTCCACTGCGACAACGAAACCCTCGAATTCATTCACAATATTCCGCGACATCTCATCACGGCTGACGCGCAAGCCTCACGAGAAGATGCAGGGTATATAGATCAGTTTGCCCGTTCACTACGGCCCATCATAAAAGAGCACGAACCGGCCTGTCGTGCTGCTTCTAATCCGTTGTGCATAATTTGCGGCTCGCTCATGGTGACTGTCTTGCAGACGCCCATGTCGTGGCTTCACAAGGTGGAGGATCCTTTTGTGGTGGTATTGATTAGTGGCATATGTGGGAAAGGCGAATGCGAAATCAAGATGCGACAGGAAGTGCAGGAGACGATGGGTGAACTTGTAACAATGGGTCAGAGCCATAGACCGTCGGAAAGTGGTGGGGGTAAGGAAGTGCTGCCTTGCCGAATCTGTGGGAAGACGGAGGGGACCATGAGGTGTGGGCGGTGTAAAGTTGTGGCATACTGTGGGAAAGAGCATCAGAAGAGGGACTGGAATACGCATAAGAGAGCCTGTGTGTCCAAGGAGGGCTAAGGCGGGTAGGAATGGAGGCGAGGGTGTGCAGACGCTTTTGGCGGAATCCCCATCGTCGTCTTCTACGGGAATTTCTACTAGTTCCGTCTAGTGCAGGAGCGGTCGATCCTGCTCTCTAGTTAGGCCATTGTGTAGATCGAAGACAAATCGTTCCGAGCAGAGCAGAGGTACCAGCATGATAAAGCATACGCTCTGTGGACAGAGTTCACCACGGTGGTTTGCTCGACGAACAAGTCCGTGCTGCAGAAGATGCACGACTACAGCGACTCCTGACGCGGATCAGACAAGGCATGCAAGAGGGCTCCGACGTTGATTTATTGAACCGCACGTGCTACCGGGAAGGCCGACGGATCCCATGGGAATTCGGAATCACCGTCGTCATGCCGCTGAACCGGAACCGGTGGAACTTGAACGTCGAGACCATGCTGTAGTTTCGAAGGCAACGGCAAGGCCTACTCCGGATTTTCATGTCCGAACACAAGTGGAAAGACGGCCAGCCGACGGAGGAAGCGCTTACGATGTTCAGTCACGGAGACGACGGCGCCGTTCCGGTCCCGGCCATCTTCATGTTCGTGCCTGGGATGCCCATCATCGTCAATTAAAAAACCCTCCAAGGCCTGAAACTTGTCAATGGTGCCAGCTACGCGGCGTTGGACATCATTCTCGACAAGGCATACCCCAGGTATGGCGTCGATGCCGAGACAATCCTCCACTTCGGCCCTCCGGCGGGGATCCTACTGACGTCGGAGACGACACGAGACTTCCATTTCGTCGGCATGCCGGCCGGCACCGTGCTTCTCACGCCCATCAGCACCAAAATTGAGTGGCAGAGGAAGCAGCCATGGCAAAAGCACAATGTTAGCCGCCGAGGGTTGCCATATGCAGCCGCATTTGCCTGTAAGGAGTACAAAGTGCAAGGCAAGACACTAGACCCAGTGGTGCTGGAGCTGCGGGGGATGCAGGTGACCAACATCGACAGCAAGGCGGCGGCTAGCCAATGCGATCCGTACAGCTTATACGTGCAGTTGTCGCGCTGCCCGTCGCTGGATGCCACCATGCTCCTTTCCAAGGCGCGAGAACGGGACTTCGTAGGCAATCGGGTGCCCGGCAACATGGTCGCCGCGGAGGCAAGGTTGGAACGGCTGAGCGAGACGACAATCCAGGACGCGGAATCTTGGGACTAGTCATCAGAGGAAAGGTTCACGGCGCACCAAGGGGAAGTAACTAAATGTACCGAGTAGTCATCAGAGTAACTGAACTAGTGTTCTGGATCAGAATTGGGCGCCGATGGTGGAGCCGATTGATTGATTTCTTGCACCCATTTCAGCCAGAGAAGTCCGAATCAAGCTGTCACACTGGGACGTGCTAATGGTATGAAGTCGGAGTAATTTGATAACCAAGCAGCAGAATTGCATTACTATGTAGTTATAGGTTAGTTAGTTATGTATAGAAAGATAGTTAGACAGATTTCATTGGTAGATGACCCCTGTACAAGAGTCACCGTGCCATCTTAGGCTAGGGGGCATTTTCAGCAGACGAAGGGATATGGTCTCAATCCTCCGATCCCACACTATGCCCGAGTAAGAGCAGCATCACTCTAGAACAGAACCTAGAGGAACAGAGACGTCCAGCAAACTGACCATCTTATCCCCATACCACGGTTATAATAATTTCCTATGTTAGAAGCAGATATAGAAGCTAGAGGAAGACATAAAAATGGGGACACAAGGCCACAAGGCACCAACGCATGTAATTAGTCAGCCTAGGTAGTTCCCCTCCCCACATGGGCCTCGTAGAGAGCCTTTTAGGCTTTCCCGCCTCGGGTTTGATTATCCATCTCAACTTCCGTCTCCCGCCCACAACTACCGGTATTACTTCAATTCCTACTCCGTACTTACGATGGAATCACTTGGGCATACCATATGGAGATATCTCTCGACTATGTCGTAGCACCCTCTACCATGGTCAAACTCTATCGGTCATAAGCACCAATGAATGGGGCATGTCGTGAAGTCGGCCAAGGCAACTAGTCTACAGTAGCTCCATGCTACATCTCCGCACACTTTCAGGCCCTCGGATACAACTATAGCTCTCGGCCTTGATGGGACCTGATAGATATGGCCCCCCATCAGATGGAGTCTTATTGTTACTCGTAATTCTAAACTTGATCTTGCTTAAGAAGGTCTCTTCTCGCAAGTTTCGTCAGTTCTCTAATTCAGTCCAGTCTGCTTCCTTCTAACTATTCAGCATCATTCTTTATATATACCTTAAGTCATTATCTAGTTGAGTCAATCGATCACCATGCCTGGCCGGCTCCAAGGTAAAGTCGCCGTTATCACGGGCAACAGCACCGGCATCGGCCGTGCCACATCCTTGACCTTCCAGCGCGAAGGCGCCACCATCGTCTGCAGCGATCTGAAAGAAGAGGCCCCAGATGGCAGCTCCACGCGCGCCCTTATCGAACAGGCCGGAGGCAAGGCGATCTTTGTCCCATGCAACGTGACCAAGCCCAGCGAGGTCGAAAACCTCATGGACACTGCCATCAAGGAATACGGGAGGATCGACATGTACCTGCTTCTCCCCCGCCTTGCTCGCGCTGCTAGCTAATGGAGGTGCTTAGTTTGGTCTGCAATGCCGGCATCCATGGGTTCTCGAAGGAGCATGGTCCGGGGCCTATCTGGGAGATCGATCACTCCGCGTGGGAAGCGTCAATGTCAGTGAACGTATACGGCGTGGTTCACACCCTGAAGTACGCGATCCGCCATATGATCAAGCAAGATCCCGCGGCGGATGGGAAGCGGGGTCGGATTATCAATTTGGCGAGCATTTACGGGCTGGTGGCCAGCACCGGTGCATGTATGTGACCTCGCTCCCAGAAACGAGGGGTGGCCATGGCCTGACGAACTCTAGCTCCTTATATCGCGGCGAAGCATGCCGTCTCCGGCCTAACCAAGGCGACTGCTCTGGAACTTGCGCCTCATAAAATCCACTGCAATGCCGTTTCCCCAGGATGTGAGACTACCATTCCCTATGTCACATTGCTTGGATTGGGCTAATTCGTAAACAGTTACCGACACTGCGTTTATTGCAGGGCAGAAAGACGATATTGCACTCTGGGAGTCAATCAACTCCAAACACCCGCTGGGGGGCATTGGCCAGGCACAGGACATCGCGAATATGATACTGTTTATGGCGTCTGAAGAAAATACCTGGATGTCTGGCGCAGTTGTCCCTGTTGATGGCGGATATACCGCGCAGTAGACGGTGTATGCCACTACCGAATGTCGATGGCAAGCATCGGCCTTTCTTCAACATTCAGCTATGGCAGCCTGCTAGAATATAGCGGAACAGTAGGGAATGGGGCAAGGGCACTGCTCCACTCTAAACCTCCACTAGCCAAGAAAATCATATTTCAACATCATATATTTCAACATCATACTGAAGGGCTTCGAATAGGGGCTGGTTACTAAGCTGACAATGTCCTTAAATGGACCTGATAGCGATCTATCTCAGCTACCTTTCTAAGGCTAGACATTCCAAGCAAGCCGAGGAAGTCCCTGCGATTTATAGCCGTCCACGTCCGTACTGTTCGACAACTCCTTATGCTTCTCCACACTCTCCGCGTACCGTTCTAGCTTCGCCTTCATCAACGCATACGCATCCGTGCCAACGACACAGTGTAGTGGCGGATTTTCCATCATCGCCAATTCATAGAATGCTTGCACACCCTTGACGGGATCGCCGGCCTGGTACCCCTCCTGCCGACTCATGACCGAATGACCATGGAGATGGTCGTACGCGGGATTCTTCGTTTCTGCGAACTCCATGCTACGTCCCGCCCAATCCGTGCGGAACCCACCAGGCTCGATGCAGGTGAACTTGATGCCCCATTCTGGCTTGACTTCCTGGCTGACCGATTCAGTGAAGCCCTCCACCGCCCATTTCGACGCGTGGTCTCGCACCAGTTAGCGACTCGCTTCGAAACCATCAGGGGTCGCGACACATACAGATGCTGCGCAGCGGCATGCCTATTTGCCCGCCGATCGACGTGATCTGTTGAATCACCCCGCCGGTTTTCAAATCTCGCATCGTCTCCATGGCCTTCCTTGTCACGGCTATGAGCCCGAAAAAATTCACCTCCATCTGCTGTCGAATCTGCGCATCAGACAGGGCCTCAAACTCGCCCGTCAGCCCGTACCCGGCGTTGTTGACGACCACGTCAACGCTCCCGAATTTCTTCACCGCCGCGGCGAATGCTGAGTCGATGGATTTGCTGTCGGTGACATCAAGCGGGATTCCTAGGAGATTGGAATCGTTCGCACCGTCGAAGGTGAGTGTGGATGGCTTGCGGGCAGTGGCGACTACTTTATGGCCGTCTTGGAGGGCGGTCTTGACGTATTCATTGCCGAAACCAGTGCTGCAACCCGTTATGAGGAAGACTTTGGGTGCCATATTCAAGACTCGAGATGCAGAGCTGGTGAAAGTGCGTAGACTTTGCGTGGAATTAATAATGAGATGAGGTAGGTGCTTAACTTCCATCTTCGAGGTCCTAAGCAGCACGGCTGAACAGCAATTAAAAGCGCGACATACTTCGTCGCTTTATATATATCAACGTGTTGAGTCATCAGCGCTGAAGTGTGTCAGCAGGCGAAGCGCATGAGGTTAAATTTGGATTCAAGTGAAGTCATCAACATGAAAACTGCAGCAATTTCTGTAATGATGAATAATATCCAACTACTGCTAGAAAATCCTAGGATTATAATAATCCATTTGGTCAGGATTGGTGGAAGGCACTGCAGGAACTGGCCGATAAGGCTGTATCCGTGCCCCATGACCGCCCCACAACCTCCGGTTGTGGGGCGGTCCGCCAAAACGCCTTCAAATTGCGTACGATTCGACACGCTTTTAAAGAGAGGGGTCTTTGGCCATGGGATCCTGAGCAGATTTTACCAACCCTTCGGCAACAGGTTGACCAAGAGGCAGAGGAGCTTCAGATATTCAATGGCACGCCACCAACGTCAAGTATTACGGCAACACCGAGAGCATCTCCACCAAATACCATACGTACGGTACGCCGGACACAACAGAAGATCATAAATACGCCTGAGGCCCAACTTTCTAGCCGGAAATACCAACGTCGCGTTCGCCAAGCTACGGAGTCATTGATCAAGGCGGTCGAAGAGATCGAGGCGTATAAAGCATCCGTTTCAGCCACACAACGCCAGCAAACCAAAAAGAGTCGCCGCCAGGTTAAAACAGGACTTAGCCAGACCGGTGCTTTGTACGTTAGTGAGGCGAACCGCCATATCGAGGCGCGTGGTCAGAAGGAGCGGGAGGCGGTAATTAGGAAGGCACAGCGGGACTGGCAGCGGGAAAACCAACAGGAAAATCAGCAGGAACCATCTCCTATACCCGAACAACCTACTAGTACGGAGGATCTCGGTTTTTATATCGATTTACATCCTGAGTTCTGATATATAGATGATGGTAGTAAAATTGTACTTTTGGCCTGGGTTGTGCTTTTGGTCTGGGAGCACCCACAACCTCCGGTTGTGGGGCGGTCATGGGGCACGGATAGGAGGCTTCGGCCTTGAATTGCTCCGTACCGCAAGTACGTACAGTACCTACAAGGCTACATAGTACTTATCTACCAGGCATCACGCTCCATAGTACAAGCCAGTGATAGAATAACTTAAACGAGGAATATTCCCTTAGGTTACCTTTCGGTTTGCGACGATCTTTGACTTTACTGGATTTCATAGCTTCGGTTTTCTTGTCATCATGTACTCTACCTATGGTGGTCTTTGCTTCAGTCTCTCGATTCTCATCTACATTCCCTCTCGCCGATCACTTGAACATTTTCTAAAGCAAGGTTTTCAATGAACTCCATCATGAAACGTATCATATCGGTCAGGGGCTTTGCATTTTCAGGTTAGTACAGTCCTGAAGCCTGGCTCCGCCAGCAGAGTCACTCCATGCGCCACAAAGAATCTAGAGGGGCTCTATGGCGTGTATACCTACCTACTACTTAATACTTCGTGGTCGAATCCATTTTGGCGATAGCATGAATCTCAGCTCGCTATCCCCCGCCGACGCCACAGAGCACCCCACCAATGGCCAACTCCCGAATCGATGGAGGTCGACCTCTGCCAAAAGAAGGTAATCTGATTGGACTCAGAACAGTTATACAGAGTCCTGGTGTTGGAGTCTAGATGTAGCTTAAGATATATCTGTTTCTCGTCACTCATAAGGCTGAGTGAACCCACTTCAAAATGATGTCTCGAGGAATTTTCACTGAACCACGGATCACCCCCTAAAATATGGCAGCATCAACTCGACCTCCAACAACGTAGACGCGAACAAGCGTACTTCCATTGACAACTGTCTTTGCTCCTCCGACACAATGCTTCGGAGACGTCTCCTTGCAATCGAATTATGCGTTGTCGATTCGCCTTGCTTTTTACGGAGACTGCTCCCGTTCGTCCTGCTGGCTTGGTCTCGCAAGTTCTTCATCATGTATGCCGTCAGGCTGGGGACCTTCGGTTACCTATTCACCTAGACGATGTCTACTGGGATACACTATTGTCTTCTCGTCTCCAGTTAACCTAGGCCCAAGAACAACTGAGACGGTGGGAACCTGCTGTCCAAGGTTCGAGCACCTTAGATCTGCTAGGTGAGACTGTCAACTAATAACAGCTTCCAGCGGATTCATATTGTACAACCGCCGCACCTCAGCGGATATACAAGAGCGCCGTATTGCGAATTTCTTTAGCCTCAATTTCAATGCTACAGCTCATTTAACACGAGGGGAGGTATTCGTAACAATAGCATATCCGTCGTCACACTTCTCGTCCTATGCGATGCACGCAAACAGCATCGAGATACGATGGCAATGCACTGATCCAGACCCAATGTTACCACCGACAGATCAGCCCTCAAACACGACTACTCCATTTACCAGGAAGGGGATAAGTCCAGGGACTGTAGCCGGCACCAGTATCACCGTGGTGGCGGTAGTGACTGGCCTAGCTGTCGGATTGTTCCTCTGGATCCGAAGACGAAGACGGACCGAGGGAGGTCACATCGAACAACCCCACCAGCATGAGTTTGCCAAGCCAGAGTTGGATACACGGAGTCCCCCTATGGGCAGAAACGCCTATACTGTCTCGAAAGCAGCGACAGCAGACATTGGGGAACTCCATGGCAGCCCCGTACCGATATCACCGACTAACACAACGCCCGTGTCTGGTACGACCACTGTCAGATATTTCAAATGGGACGCAGATAAAAGTGCCGAGCTCCCATCACCTACAAAACCAGCAGAAGTTCATGGGGAGGGAATCCAGGAGCTTCAGGGGCAAACTGTCAGCCATATGGATACGAATGATCATAATATTTCGGTTTCGCCAATTGGAAATTCAAGATCAGGACAGTTGAAACGGAAACCAGTACGACAGTCTCAAACCGAACCTTCATACGATCTTGTTCAGAACCTCTGTTCGCGTTTAGAAGGATTAAGGTTCGGGCAATATGCCGGAAAGGGTTGTCACTACATGTGGATCGAATCCCCAGTTGATGTCAGTATCATAAACCGGGCAAATACTGTTTCAATGGCCTTTCAAGTAGCAATGATGATGTCCGTAATCTGTGAGAAAACATGGGCTGGCTCACTGCTCAACTCGGGGTCCGGAACTAACCCGGCGGCGGAATGCTTCTTGAACACATTCCTCCTGTCGCCGTAACGCCGGTGTGATTTACAGGATGTATTTTATTATACACGAGTGGGAAGAGTTGAGGGCTCTGGACCTGAGGACTGCGACTCAATTATGCCTTGGATAGTCAAACGGGTTTCTGTTCTCGCGCGAAATACCTCATCGAGGGTACTAAGTGCCCATGATCTTAGAAGATTGCTCGTCCGTTGAAGGCTCAACTCCTTCCAGGTCTGCGGACTGAGATATTGCCCCCCACTGGGCAAATCTTTTCAACTGCATGTAACTCTTTTCATGCTACTCGGAGAAGCCTAATCGACGGGCTGCAGTCCCAGAGGTCTATCAGTGGTGGACATGCGCTTGGATCAGACCGTCATTTGGTTACCCCATCTAGATGATTTCCAAATTGTAAAGAGAACCTTGGGGGTTAAATTTTGGTATTCTAGTGCTGCATAATGTATATGTACATGATGTCTCTTTTTCCGAAAGTTGGTTGCCCAGAATATTCTCCGTCTGGCTCTATCCCATCCCACCGAGACCCGCTCCGCCTCTCTTCCGTGCTGATAATGATGTTGACAAGTTTATGATTTCTTTGTTGCGGAGCATGACGGAAAAGACGCAAGAGATACTTGAGCAACACGGGGTGAAGTTGCGAGTTTTTACCGATAAAGAGCTGAATAAATAGTCAGAACGCCTCGCGAATGCCGGAGCGATCATGTTCGCTAAAGGATACTCGGAAAACCCGAAGTTCAATTTGGAGTTTATATTCTGTATCCACTCTTTCCAGATGCGGGATTTGGCAGGTATGGAGATTATAACCGAAGGTTGGCAGAATGTTCCGATGGAATGTGCTTTCGAGGTGTCGAAAGCAATAATTATGGAAGCGCCAGATTTGATCCTGGCGGTCAAAGTCATCGTTGGGTTGCCTATCTGAATTCCTGTCTATACATCTTGACCCTTGGGGTTTTGAATAAGGAGATAGGAATGCCCATAGTGGACGAGTGCAAGGCAAGAACGGTCACAAAATCCTCCCAGATGTAAAGGCGAGCTAGAAACAGGGTCAGTAAAAAGAATATCTCGTTTTACGAAAAGTTTTTCGGTGCCACATTCAATTTGTCGCTCACCGAGCCCTCTTTTGACTCCGGATCCGTAAACCTCAACTTTGCCACTTCAATGTCCCTGTATTGCCATTCCAAAAATGCAACTGCAGCCTCCCCGAATTTTCCTCCGTTGGTCGCACTCTAGGTCCCCTTGCGGCCGGTATCCAAACTTGCCCACATGGCAGGGTGTCCTGGAGCCAGAGTATCATGATCCGCTTGTGACTGTGCCCGAGAATCTGTCAATGAGTGTGCCAAACACGCAAATGAGAACACAACTTCACACCTGGCTCCCAGTAGCGGGTTGAATACGTTTCCTGCCCCACAAATCGGTCCGGCGGCATCGATCTTCCGCGTATCAATATTCACATATTTGCTTGCGCCTCCTTTTTCAACCAGTCCAGCGCCTCTTTATATTAGCCAAATTTCGACATCTGGCCGCTAAGGGTTCCATTGAGGAACCCACCGCCAAGATCACTGGTGTTGCCTCTCGAAGTACGATTGACTGAAGAAGGTGGGCCGTTCGCAATGATCAAGGTACCCTTTACTGGCGTCATGGCACCACCGTTCCCCTATGCAATAATAGGCATGATCACACACTCCGGAGTCCGGGGGGAGATGGGCACACAGACTGTGTGATTTGGGATAGTTGGATCATCGAAATGCTTCGCTTGGTAGGGACCCGAGCGACCAGTCGTTTGGGAGAGGCCTTTGCGTTTGGGGGCCTCGGAACCAGTGGATGAAAGGTTAGTGAATATGTCCGTATTGTCCTGTTCCTATTCGAGAATAAATGAGCGGCCATGCTGTATAGCGAAGCAAGATGTGATTGGCCTAAATCAGTGTGTAGGGCTAAGACGGTAAGTAATATATCCGGAAGCGATAAAACTCGGGAAGAGTACTTCACAAGGCCTACATCAAGATTCATAGCCCTCCAATAAACATTAGACTTATTATTTCTAGCGAACTTGTCACCGATGAATACTCCCAGCCCGCTGCCTCATACTTCCGCGACTTTTTTCGGAATATTTGTGCTCAAGGCCATAATCTTCCGATTTCCTGCCTGCAAGTAGCTTCGGTTCGCCGCCAAGAGAAGCCAAGACGGCTTCGTTGTTGGCAGTCAAGTCATCCATGATCTCGAGTTCGTGTTGTGTAAAGAGCTTAGGCATGATACGGGTACGGATAGGGATGAGTGCGGTGATGATCACAGGGAAACCTAATGTCTGTTAGTGACATGCGTATCAAAATCAGGAAGGGAGGATGGGGGTACCGATTGCGGCAACTGTCTGTGATATAGCAACAGAACAAGCGACGCCAAATATCTGGATGCCGATATAGAGACAGATCTTCGTCTTCGGCACTTGAAGTAGTGGATGATTCCTCTGGATGAATCGACCCTCTTTCATGAGAAATAAGAGCTTCTCGACTATCCCATTGGTCTCAATAGAACCCCAACCGACAACAAAGAACACGCCAGAGAATACAGCCACTGGCATCGTATGCAGCACTCTGAGCAATGGTCCTGTCATGGTCCCAATGAGCGCAAGTGCCATGATGAAGTGAGATATTCTCTGCTCCACGACTGTAACGGCTTTGACAGCAGAGCGGCGAATCTCGGGGTTTTCGCTTTCAGAAGCTGAGAAGACCTCCACGACGGTTTTATAGTTGGTGAGAGAATCCGTATGCACCGGAGCTTGTGGCACAAGGCCATTTGGCATAGGCAGGCCCAAGATACCCGAGATGAAGGTCGTCACACCAAGCAGGAAGAAATCCCAATGGAAGCCTCCGGGCTTTTTCAGGGGGAAGTTTCGTGCCTGTGCGGTCAGGCTACTGACGTTCTAGAGGCCAGTCAGCGTTCTAAGATATGCAGAGAGAGCTATTAGATGCACTCACATGATCGTAATAGAAAAGCAGCGTCAAGAGAAATGCAAAGGGCAAAGCTACGAACACCCATTTGACTGGGAGGTTCCAGAAGTCGATTACCCAGTTCCGAGGCTGAGTGGGATGGAAAGTTCGGGTTATTGGTACCCATGCTACATCTGTGTCTTTCAGCTCGCCTGGAATATGAGCAAAACCGACCCAGAAAAGTGTCGCAATCTAGATACTGTCAGTATACCGTGATATTCCGTTTAGTAAGTCAGAACATACTGGAAACGCGTAGTCTGCAAACAAGCCGCGAACGAATGCATTCCATACCGTGCCGGCCCCTAGCTTTTCAAGGAAGTATACAGAGCCGAAGTACAATATGGCAATCAAGCAGCTGAGAAACCCTGCTGACCTAGATGACTCCGGATCTCGGAATTGATATACTAATTCCTCTACCCCCTTAACTATAAATTTGGTCAATATTTAAACACCCATGCCATTAGGTTTGGGCTTACTCATGTAAATGATACCGACGTACAGCCCGAAAGAATCGCTGGAGAAATCGGTGACATATCGCATATAGTCGCACCAATTCCAAAGAGCTGTGAGCCAATGGAGAATTGCTGCCCAAATGCCGACCCAGGCCATGAACTGCGGATACCACTCTGGTGCATGCATTTGGATGATATCGAATGTTGTATAGTTGAACAACGAAATCAAACCAGTGATCCCAACGATGGTGAGAGGTTGCGCAGCGAAGATGCTGAACACCACAGCTGCGAGCGCAGACGCAAACAGGGCTTCGTTGATTCCGTAGAACTCTCCCGTGCGTCGGTACATGTCCAACTGATATGCAACGGCGGGTAACAGATTGACGAAATAGATTCGGATGATACTGGCGACGGTTCGATATGTCCATGCATCTCGAATATCGGACCAGTAGAATGGGAACCGTCGTTTGATGTCATGGTACATTCCCCATCCGGGTCGCAGCATACGGTAGCGACGCCATCCTCTCGCCCCTTTGTATGTGTATCCTTCGTCTGGATGCGAAGCGACATGGATGGATCGTTTCTTCTTTAAAAGCGCTCCATCGTGAACTCGAATATTACCGAATTCTTGACCGGCCATGTTTGGTGAGAAATCGGTCTAGGGAGAGATATTAGGGGACAAGCATGAAGCGAAAGACTTTCAGAGTGCAAAACTTGTTTTCAATTGACAGTATCGAGAGTATTATTGCGACATCAGTCCAAGAACATGACAGAATGAATGAAGGCTACAGAATTAGGATTGATAATCAAGATAGGTCTTCCAAATTGCCCAATGGTGGTGATGATGTTTGGGATGATATGGAAGGGATCGTGACGTCAATTTAGGGTCGTATGGATACCACAAACCTCACGTTCTTCATCAGACACCAACTGTCCCATTTCAACGATCAACATTCAAGATAATTCTATCAAATGGAGAATTTCGGAGCAGATATTTGTGCCAATCGACAGCCAAACGGACACTTATCCCGTACTGCAAGAGCTACGATATTGGAGGCCGCGGGAAATGGGAAATCGAACTCGGATATTGCGAAAGAATTCCAGATCGGTCGAAGCACTGTGGTTGCAACGGTTCAACGATGGAATCGGAAGCGCACACTCGATGATTTGCCTGGGCGGGGCCGCGACCATAAAATATCACCTGCCGACGAACGCTACATTGTGAAAACTCTACGGAAATCCCCGAATATGGAGTTCTCCAAGCTTCTCGACGGTATTCCCGACTCCCGTGTTTCTAAGAGGACTTTAAACCGAGTTATGAAGAGACACAATATTAAGAGAGTATAGAGAACTGGGATTGACATCTAGAAATCTGCGACTAAGTTAGGCCGTGTTAGATTTCACGATAGAAAAACACGAAGTCGATTGGTTGATTGATTTATTCACATGTCCGTCAGACCTCTCTGCGAGGTCCATGTGGGGAACTACCTAGGCTGACTAATTACATGCATTGGCAGCATTGCTGCCTTGCGGCCGTGTGCCCCCATTTTTCTATCTTCGTTCATCTGACTTCTATATCTGTCTAACATAGGGAAATTTTATGTGTGCCAAGGGAATAAAATGGTCGGCTTGCTGGACGTCTCTGTTCTTCTAGGTTCTGATCTAGAGTAACGCTGCTCATACTCGGGCACAGTGTCGGATCGGGGAGTTGAGACCAAATAGTTAGTAGAAGGGGAGCTGTGGGAGGGGAGGTGTATGGTAGGGGGATCACGTTCCTGGGTCTGGTCTTCCGGTGTCCTGGATGAAATGTAGCGTTGCTGTAACTGCCTCCATATTCGAGGACTAGCGCTTGATCGGGCCGTCTTTGATTCTGATTCGTATGCTCCAAGGAGGAAGGCCAGGTCTCTGGCTCGGGCCCAGCCGTTGTCTTCAGTTGCTGCATCTATTCTTCTCATTTCATGAATTCCAGTATCAAGTGGTGGACGCTCTTTGTTGCTCCGCATTCACAGTCGCTGCTTTCGGCTTTCGCGATCTCATGGAGGTACCTATTAAGGCGGCTGTATCCTGATCTGACTTGCACTAGTAGAGCTGCTTGGTCTCTCGATAGCTTATCATAAAGCTTTCTTGTGTCTGCTCCGTAGTGCTTTGTCGAGCTCCTTCGCGTAGAGTCAGGGATTTTAGGCTAGGAAGGCCTTTCTCTTTGCTTCTAGATGGCTCCTTCCTTGCTTGATCGCGTGTCTCAGTACCATGGTGTGTTCTTCTGGTCTAGATCCGGTGGCAGTAGCAGATTGGGTGAGGGCGTTCTGAGTGCTCCTTGACGTTGATGAGGTACCATATATCACGACTGCCTGATTGCAGTCCGGTGCACGTGTGGTCAAGCCAATCGTAATGCCACACTGTAGTAGCCCTGTGCCAAGACCCCAAGCAACGGATCGATGCTTTCCCCGCAATGAAATCCACAACGGAACCGTAGATCTATCCACTTCCTGACAACCCTCCCTCTGTCTTTCTGCTCTCGCATTACCGAAGTGACTCTCCGCTCCACTCTCCAGACAGTCTGACTCTCTTCAGTCTTCAGTCTCATCACCTCATGCCTCTTCTATTCGCTCAGCTTTCTTGGCTGTGGCCAAGCTCCTGGCTCTCACGGGTCAAACCCAACGGCCCTGCCCCATCTCCAATCATCTGAGAGATCCTTAAACCCTATGGGAAGCTTCAGTCCCGTATTCGGTTGTATTCCACCTGTGGTCCTGTTCGATAGTCCATGTCAGTTATCAAATCGATGGTATTCCCAACAGGCCACAGTTTCGATTCCGCCGGATATAACCCCTTTTTACGAGGCTCCAGAGTGTTTCGTACTCACATGATTGGGGAATAAGGGAGAGGTATTCCTATCCTTCTAGGTCCTCATCGCCACAATCGCTATTCCAACTCAGAGTTGATGCTGTCCAACAGTTCTCAAGTTGTCTCCTGCCTTCACACAATAGTACTGTAGTCCACAATAATGAGTGGTACTGTAGCACAACCTGGCCCAGGAAGAAACACGCTTCCCCATTCAATCCAGATTCCAAGCAGCCCACTACTCATGCCAAGGTACAAGTGTACGAGTAGCGCACAAGTGTCATTTGGTTCTCCCTGGGGAAATGCCCGAGGCGATACATTAATAGCGCTTCCGCATGGAGATTGCGGGGATTGCACTACTCGTCTTATGAGTAAAGTCGTCCCCGCAAAGATGAGGGGAAATTTGTGTCTATGAGGATCAGCATGTGGCTGCGGCTATTGGGCCTCATGGCAATGCGAGAATGCGGTGATAGAAGGACGACCAAGCTTCGGTCAACCGGTATTTCTCGGGCACAGTCTCGAACACGCTCAGTCGAACATATTTAAATCGCCCTCTCCCCAGGGCGTCGAGTCAGGAGCGCCATACATGCCCCTCCCCACTTCTTTCATATCCGTTAAGTCCATTCACTTACCAGCAAGTCTTCGTTCGCAACCATGAAGGATGTGCGTCATCCCGTCGATGCGGCCGATCGTGACCCCAGCCTGGATATTGGCATCGACCATGCCGAAAAGGGGGAGGCAAGCTCCTCAGAGCAAGAGCTCGGTTATGGTGACCCTGATTACCTGAAGAAAGTGAAAATAGCTACGTGAGTTGGAAGTCCAGGTGCACAGAAGGAATTAGGATGCTAAAACATCTCTGCATAGCCGCAAGGTCGATATCAGGGTCATCCCCATTTTAGGGGCTCTGTACTCTATCAGTGGTATCGATCGAACAAATGTAGGAAACACCATTGAGCAACCGTAGGTATCCTTAAGCTAACTTCCGTAGCTTGCCAACGCCCGCGTTGCTGGAATGGATGTTGATTTGGGCTTCAATCAGGGCGACAGGTACCAATGGCATCGCGGTGGCGTTCCTGACGGAATCGTCTTCCTAACAGATCCTTTTGCAGATACTCGATCGCCCTCCTCGTCTTCTTCATCACTTATTTCATATTCGAGATTCCCTCGAACATCATCCTGCGCAAGCTTCCGGCCCATCGGTACCTCTCCTTCCTCGCGTTCGCCTGGGGCATCTGCATCATGTGTGCCGGCTTTGCCCAGAATTGGATCCCTATTGTCATTATCCGGTTGCTGGTCGGGTTCTTCGAAGCTGGCTTTTTGTGAGTTCCCCGCCATCGATGGCGCGCATGTTCTTCGGTGGAGCGCTGTCCGCAGCGATCCAGAACTAACGCTTCAACTCAGTCCTGGATGTGTTTACCTCATCAGCTCCTGGTACGAAAGATACCAAGTCCACCAACGGTAAGCCCCTCTCTTATAAATGCGACGACAGGATAGCTGATGGCTCCAGCATCGCCTGGTTCTATGCTTTCAATACCGTCGCCGGTGGTTTTGGCAACACCCTGGCCTATGGATTGATACAGATGGAAGGGGTTGGTGGCGTGCGCGGTTGGCGATGGATTTTCATCATTGAAGGACTGATCACCATCGTCCTAGCTTTCTTGGGATACATCTTAATCGTTCCTTTTCCTGACCAAGTATCCCAATCCCGAAAGCCGTTTTTGAGCGAAGACCAGGTCCAGCTGATTACCGACCGCCTAAATCGTGATCGTGGCGATACTACATTTGATCCGATCACTTGGTCCAAGATCAAATTTTGTTTGCTAAAATGGGAGATCTGGGTTTTGTTAGTATTGTTCCTTCCTATTGTCCGCCATCGAAACTAACTATAGTAAGTGCACTACTATTCATGAGTTGTGGGGTTTGTATATATGCGATGGCCTACTTTCAACAAATCATCATTAAGTCTTTCGGGTATTCTGTCAGCGAGACTTTCCTATTGTCCACACCTCCCGCTATAGCCAGCGTGCCATTTGCCATTTTTTGTTCCTGGTTGGCCGACAAATATCACACTCGAGCCCCTATTGTCATCGTCCAGGCCATTGTCTGCCTGGTCGGGTTGCTTCTCGTTCGATACGCTCAAGGTACCGGTCCCCGCTACTTCGGACTTTTCCTTGGAAAAATGGGCTGCAACGCCGCGCTGTCAACCGTTCTTGCATGGCAGGCGAATAACATCCGTGGCCAGAGCACTCGAGCGTAAGTCTCCAACCATCAGGCATAGTTTCATGACACTAACGCCGAGACAGGATCGCGTCCGCTATGCAGGTCATGTTTGGAGCCATTGGAGGCATATATGCAAGCACGGTTTTCATGGAGAAGGAGTTGCCGCATTATACTTCCGGAATCTGGGCTGCGGTGGTAAGCTGCCTTCGGCCCCGTGTGCCACTCAAAGGCACTTTGCTGACTCGTCTTTAGGCAACCCAATTCTACATGATCCTAGCGTCAATCGGAATGTCTTTGTACTATATGAAGCGGAACAAGCAGGCGAACAGGGGTGAACGAATTCTGGAAGGCCTGCCAGAATTTAGGTACACCATATAGGGCTCTGTCCTGAAGGATTTGTAGACGTCGTTGTAGGTCGGATGCAATTCGTAGGATTTACCCGATCGTATAGTATCTCTCAAGTTAGGGATGATACCACATTTATAGCAAATAAAGAGAGTATTTAGGGGGGACTCCGTATGGCGGACCGAAAGGCATAGGTAACCTTTGGTTGAGTAGCAACAATTCAATGTTTGCCTCACGATTGGAGCAGGAGATTCCCTACAGTGAGACCCTGACATCCACCATTACTAGCGGGGAGGAGAAATCTCGCCAGCCAAATTACAGTCCGCGATTACACAAGAGGAGTGCTGTGATATGGTATCAAGGAGATACGTCATGAGTTTAGATCTCTTCATCTCTTGGAGAGGAGTGTCAAGGCTCGAAATGCAAGCGCAGAGTTTTGTAACGAGGATATCAATTCAAAACGTATAGATAAGGAAATTGTGAGGAGTTGAACGTAAGGTCTAAAGAGTGAAGACATTGCTTGTTTATATACCCAAATCCTCATCAAGTGAGTATCGTGGACCATGCTCACCCAGCTCATTCTTTCGTCAAGCATCGTGAGCAGAACTTACGGTGCTCTGTTGCGGATATCGTGGGCATGGATCACCACCAACGGTCAGGTGATCCCTATCCTATCTCTATGATAATGCTTCCTGTAGTTATGTAGCATTCTAGATAGGACATCGGTCTTCTTCATCTTGACACAGTTCATACGAAACCATAACAAGCTCACGTCTGTTCCTTGCGAGCCCTTGCTTACCCCCGTAGGTAAGTATAACTGTGATTGGTCGTAAAGCTCCTCCCATCCCTTAGATCGTAACAAATGGAGTTCTCGTTGCTTAGAAGGCGGCAATGGCAAAGGCAATGGCAACAACGAGGCCAACGACCAGATTGGCGGACGCGGCGCCAGTGAAGGATGGCGGAGGGGTGGCGCTGGTTGGGTTGGGTGGGCCTCCGGACAACTCAGAGATAGGGGCGCTGGTTGGGTTGGGTGGGCCTCCGGACGACTCAGAGATAGGGGCGGCGGAGCCACCTCCGCTGGAGATCTCAGCCGGAGTAGGGCTTGAGTTTTCGGGATCGGAAGAGGCCGCGGTCGGCGCTAGAAGAGAAGCGGAGGGAATGGTGCCGCCGTTGCCACTACGGTACCAGTTTTGGATCGGGTCGCCCAAGCACTCGCCCATGGTCACTGCTCGGAAACCCAGAGCCTGGATACGATCGAGCATGAAGAGGGTCAGGTCCTGGGTACTCAGCGGATGGAGGTCATGGGAGATAGAAAGGAACTTGTTAGTAGTCGGAAGGACGACAGCGTCCGCGAAGTTGTTCTTGGCGGTCTGGATCGACTCTGGGGTAAGGTTATTATAATCGTCCGTGTCCACATCAAAATAGCTGATGTGGTAGCCAAGATCTGCCATATCCTGCATACATGAGGGCGTAATGCATCCAGAGTAAGGTGGCCGCATGTAAGTAGGGAAGTACCCAAGAATATTCTGGAGGGCGATCTCGTTATAGAGAATTTCCTGCTTACGCAGTTCATCGCTGACTTTGTCCAAGTTCTGGTGCGACCAGGTATGGGAAGCAACCTGGTGACCGTCGTTGGCCATACGTTGTATAACAGCGCTCCAAGCAGGGGTCGAGTCGATCATTCCCTTGCCATTATTATTACCGGAGATAAAAAACGTAGCCTTAGCGTCATATTGATTAAGGAGATCCAGCACAGCATTAGTATAGATGGATGGACCATCGTCGTAAGTCAGGGCGACGGTCCCAGGAACAGTGCAGTGGTAGATACCGGCGCCACCATATGGGACGCTACCAAGATGTGGGCGATCAGTATTAAAAGTATCAGGTCCTGATGGCTTCTCGTTCGTACCGCAGCCAGATCCGTACTGGTACTGACAGTTTGGTGCGCTACAGTAACTAGAATTGTTACCACACCAACTCTTTCCGAAGGTTAGTTGCTATCATAACGACGCTGAAGTTATATAATAACTCACAGTAGGTGAACAGCAGTATCCTTCCGCGCAACTTGTTCCACCAAAGTCTGAACCGCATCGTCCATCGGTTCCTCCAATTGGTTCTTGGCGCGATTCCTTCAAACCTCTGGTCTCGTAGTCGGATCCGTAGTCGATTTCGATGCCTCTCAACACCTTCAGAGGGGGAGCACCGAATAATCCTGGCCCGTGGTAGCCCTCGAGAGCTACCGTAATGGCCGGCAAAAGGGCCAGAGACGCGGCCGCAAGACGCATGATGAAATATTAAATATACCAGTGACTAAATATGGTATTGCTTGTCAACGACTTTCCAAAAAGCGAGAGTAAGAAGAAACGACAGACAGTCGACCTGACCTGGTAAGCACGGTGCTGAGGTACGAACGTACAGGTCAAATAAAAGCGAGCATGTTTTAAAGGATGGAAAGGTCAGGTAGAGTCCGATGTGAACATCGGCAAGATTTTGAGTGTTGAGCTCTTGAGGACAAGGGTGTGCCCTGACTGGCTGCTTGCATCTGTCCGATACTCCGATTTGACCGGTCACGAAACGGGGAATCTAGGCCCGACGAATCGTTTCCTATCCACTTTTATGTGCCCTTTTAGGCATTTACAGAGGAGGACTGTCTCCCAGGCTGCTGGTAATAATCTTTTTAGGGAAAGGAAGTCCTTGCAGAGTTAGAAAGGATTGCATACACCTCATTCGCAGGCCCCTGTTTGACCAGGATGATCCCAGATAAGGTTTCCATTCTTCAGCTTGGCGCTAGCGTTGATTGGGAGAGCAAGCCACCCGCTGCGCTCCAGGCATGAACTGCTGTCACACGAAACTCGAAATAGCATGGGTTTGCCTCAAACCGGCTACGAGACAAGCTCTCTGCCATAGACGGCGATAGGTGGCATAATTGAGAGGGAAGATTGGCTTGTTTAATATCTCTTTCTTCCAAGGAAGCGGGACGTAGTCTACGTCTTCTAAGATCGGCCGTGTGAGCAATGTGGGAACAGATCAACAGAATCTATGTATAGATCGAACGCATCGTCCTTACTCCTTAGTGGCGAGGGAACAGACGAAACTTGTCAAGCAGGGATTAGAAACGGAAAGGAGGAATGGTAAATAAGACCCTGTAAAACGACGGTAAGCCACGACATAGAAATGACGGGGATTGCGACGTCGACTCACAGCTCTGGTTTGTTGTTGCGCCGAGCGCTTTTCCGGTCCTTGATGATCAGAATGGTGGAGGGGTGAACGTGGCAAATTGACGTTCTTTGTCGGTCGTACGAGTCTCACACAACGGCAAGATTTACTCTGCTGCACGTTGAATTCAAATGATCTCATTTGAATTGCCTTAAATGCGACATCCTCCGGGGGAGACGAAATTGAGTTACGTTTCTTGGCATTCCCCTATGCACAGTTCCCACGATCTTAACCAGAACGCGGCGGAGAATTCACCAAAACAGACCTCTAGTAGTTGCTTAGTTAGGAAAAGAGTAGTTATACTTTTTGGTATTATGCTGTTTTTGAGCGAATTGGGCCTGCCTGTGATGGTGGTGATGGTTGGGGGAATGCCAAGAGACGTAACTCAATTTCGTCCCCCCCGGAGGCATCTTCGATCTGCATAATCCTTGAGCGGGGATTCTAGGTACAGTTCACTGTCCTGTATGACAAAGGTGGATGAGCTTCGTTTTCCGAAACACTGAACACAGAGTAAACTCGATATTGTATTGTGTGTAACTAAGCTACGGAATAAGGGAAAAGGAAGGGAAAGAATATACGCAAGGTAAACATAGAAGGCACTGTCTTCACTCCTGTGTATTTAACATACACATCACAAACAAACGTGGAATCCACTAGTCACCACCAGCCACAAGTAGTGAGTGGGCCCTGCGGGGTGAATACCTGCAACATCATATCTAGCTGTGTCACAGCAGAGGTATAAGAAAACACCCTAAGCAAAGATAACTTACTACGAGGCATGCAGCGAGTCCCCACTGACTCGAGGGCTACACGTAACTCCCGCTAAGGTAATGACGTGTACGTAGTAGTACAGAGGAACCATGGAAACCCTTCATGGAGCCCTTCTCCTCTCCTTCTCCAAGGATTAGTCTAAGTATTATGACATAGATATCTTCCATCAATAACTAACTATTACATGCCTCAACTATTAATGTGACTATCTCACTCTACGCCCACAACCGTTTTCATGACCTTACAATACCGTACTACGTAGTATATGAGTAGTAGTAGGAGTAAAACTTAAGCTCTCTGCTCTCTGCTCTCTGTACTCTACACTCTGCAGCACTTGGCTTCTCACGCCCGGCGGATTTCCATTATCTTTCTCCTCCCGGAAACTTAACTCGACTTGATCTCCTCCCCTGCTGCTACGTTTCCATCTAGCGGTTCGACCAAATTCAACTGTAACAACCACAACCACAACCACAACCATTCCATAATTGCGGTACGCTATCATCACTGTTGTCGGTGCCGTTTCCTATTCCTCACTCCCCTCTAAGCTTCCAAATCATCCTCACCCTGCTGCCTGCATCACCCATCACCCACCAAGCGTCAAGCGTCAAGCATCAAGCGTTTAACAGTCCATCCAAACCCCAAAGCTCATTCTCACAAGTGGTGCAGCAGTGCAGCTCATGCATACAAGGATCCTGTTTCCCTCTTTTGTATTCGCTTGACTTGCCCCATCTGCCCATCCATCCATCTATCCATCCACCACCTGCTTTCCTTCTCTGTCTCTCACACACACTTGTTGGATATCAACCATCCTCTAGAGGTTGGGAGTCAGCTGACATCCCAATACGGCTAGTATCATGTGGGGTTACCTCCTATTCCTCCAAGGCCTCCCATACTCCTAGATAGATCAATCAATCACGTATCAATACTTCTACAACACTCTCTCTGCGTCTTCTACCTCCCTCTCTCTCACTTCACTCAACTGCTTCACCTTAGCCTACCTATTCACATACTGCACATCCCCTATAAATCCACCTTTCCCTATCTTAATTTCAGATCTGGTACCATCCAACCCTTCACTGGCCTACCATGTTCTACTTCAACCGCTGTCCTGTTTGGCTGCTGGAGTACGACTGACCCTGCCCGCCCACCAATCCTTCAAGCAAGGCAAGCCCCGTCATTCGCCACCAACGCCATCATACCCTCATGCCCTCAACATCTCGAATCCCCATCCCCCACCCACTTCCCCGCCGTATCGTCACTTATCCGCTCTTGTGCCCCTCTCCAATGTCGGTCCGTTGCGTGTTCAACTTACCTCGACCCTCATCATTGACGATTCCATCTGGGAATTCCCTCTCGGCCATCCACAGTCGGGTCGGACAGACTTCGCGATCCTGCATCCTCGCTCCCCACCGATGCACCCACATCTCGCGAAAATCTAAGCCACCACTTAACCGTGATCGGATTCGAACGCAGACGGTTTAGAGGTCTCAACATCATTAAATCATTTCAGCATGTCGCAGAGCCGGCCGTCGGCGTTCTCGACGCTTCGCATAGGAGGCAAGGTCCCTATCTGCATTTAGCTGTTGACCCAACACGTGCGACGTCGCAGGTATACTGACGATTTTTTTCCCATTACAGAAGTCATTCGAGAGAAGGTGCAGGATGGAGTAACTGGCGAAACTAGGGATCTGGCGTATACGCAGTGTAAGATCGTGGGGAAAGGATATTGTGGCGTGGTGTTTCAGACCAAGTTATCGCCAAGTGGTGAAGATGCTGCCATCAAACGAGCACTACAAGACAAACGATTCAAGGTATACCATACTGAAATATTCGATAGTTGAAAATAGGGTTCTAATAGCCGATTTCTAGAATCGAGAGCTACAAATCATGCGTATTGTCCGTCATCCAAACATCGTCGAGTTGAAGGCCTTCTACTACAGCAATGGGGAACAGGTACGTCACTCTTCTTTCCTGCTTCGATTCAATTTGAACAATTCTGACACCAGACAGGAGAATGAAGTCTACCTGAATCTTGTCCTCAAATTTGTCCCTGAGACCGTATACCGAGCATCGCAATGGTTCAATAAGATGAAGACGGTCATGCCGATCCTCGAGGTCAAACTTTATATCTACCAGCTCTTCCGCGCTCTCGCATACCTCCACTCCCAAGGAATCTGCCACAGGGACATCGACCCTCAAAATCTGCTTCTCGACCCGGCCACCGGCATCTTAAAACTCTGCGATTTTGGCAGCGCGAAGATCCTAGAAAATAATGAACCGCACGATTCTTACCTCCGCTTAAAGTACTGCCGAGCGCCGGAGTTGATATTTGGAGCGACCAACTACACAACCAAGATTGGTAGGTTCACGCAGTCGATCCATCCGGTCAAGCTGACATGGTCAGATGTCTGGTCCGCCGGCTGCGTCATGGCGGAATTGATTCTTGGCCATCCGCTCTTCCCATGTGATTCCTCAATCGACCAGCTCGTGGAGATGATTAAAATGCTCGGAGCGCCCACCCGGGACCAAATCCGCGCGATAAACCCCAAATACATAGGACACAAGTTCCCACAAACCAAACCGCATCCATTCTGCAAAGTATTCAAGCCCACATCCCGTCCTCGCCGTGCCCAATCAGGAAGACCCACCTCTGACATCCCCCAGGTCTTCCGCGAAGCCGATGCCGACGCCATCGATCTGATCTCCAAGTTGATCGAATACACCCCCACGCAAAGATTGTTGGCTATCGACGCTATGGTGCATCCGTTCTTCGACCAGCTGCGGGATCCCAGCACCAAGCTCCCTGATTCCCGTCGCATCAACGGTGCCGCTCGGGAACTGCCCGTGCTGTTCGATTTCTCCCATCACGGTAAGTGTTCCCTCGGTCTGCGTTATTCTCCCGCTAATCATAGCAGAACTCTCCATCGCCCCTCCACTCAACCAAAAACTCGTCCCGAAGCACGTCCGCCCGACCTTGCGCGCTAAGGGCCTTGACGTCGATTCACCTTATTTCCGACCCCTCACCAAAGAGGACATGGCGGCTCAGTTGGATTAAAGACAACCTGTTGATCATTTTGGCGTGTCAATCAATCACGGAAGCCATAGGGTACCCGACATAGGGAGTGGGATGCTTATTTTGTATAAGAAGTAGGACACATGGCAGGGCAGATATACCCGGGATTATGTAATGTACAGAATGGGATGACTAAGTAAACCGCCGATTTCCGACACAACCCCCTTCTTTCCACTTGTCCCTTCTCCTTCAGCACAAGGCCAGCCGACCTAGACCGGAACGCCTGGGCACAGTCCTCTCGCTCGCCTTGGTGGAAACAATGGGGATGGGGGAACCATGGGAACATCCCGCGATACAGGAATGGGGTGTAATGGAACGGAATGGCACTGAATGGAATTGGGACGCATTCACGAAGTTATGTTTCTAGGAAATTCACATATGGTACACCACTACGCAAATCACATCGCACGCAGAGCGCATCTGTCATGTCACGGATGTCAGTTGGTCATTACCGCTCCCTCGCTCCCTCCCCCACTCCCTCTCTCTCTTTTTCCCCATCTTCCCCTCCCCTCTCTCTATCTCGTAGTTCACAAGAGTCTTGGCACAAGTATGAGTACGAGTACATGTTGGCAGCGAAAATTATGGATGGGTTATTTCGATTGTTTTTTTCGTCATTCTGTTCGTTGGCGTTGGTGTGGTGTCATCGTCGTCGTCCGTGTCGTCCTTACCAGTCGTGTCCTACTGTTGTTGATGGACCTTTCCCGTCCCCATCCAACCATTCGTTCCTCTACCAGCCAGCCAGTAGTCACCCAGCGTCTCCTGACCTCCCTCGACTACGACCTCCCACCCAGCGTTTGACGCCGCGCTTCAACAACCACATGTCCCGATTAACCATCCCGATCGATGATCAACAGTAACGTCTCATCGCATACAACTGTGCCCTCTGTCCTCCCGACCAACCGATCACCAGCTTCCCCCATTTCTTAACAGTCCCCCCAAAAGGGGTTAGGGAGACCGATTTGGCGAGCAGCGTACCTGTTTCTCTCCCTTCCTCTCCTCCACGCCATTCCACTTCGCCTCCCGAGAAAGTGTGTGCTTTCGATTTTTGAACCATTGCTTCCACGTGTGCAGATACCTTGCGACTCGTCTATTTTGTCCCTTTCGTTTAATCCGGGGAGCAGATGGGCCTATATTCTGTGGTGTCCTTCTGGTTAATCCGTCGGGCGCCTTCGAATTGCGGTACGATTACCTGGACGTCGAGCTAGCGTGCGTCAGCTACCGCACTCGCCCGTTGTGAGAGCATCTGGTGGAGGTCTTCCGTGCCTGCCGCCGTGATCAGGTTCGGTCGTGAGTCGCTGTGGGCTAAACAGTGGAGGAGGACGTGCCGGACTGTTGGTGCTTGTTAGCCGCATGCGCAGCCTACGAAAACTATCTCCATCTCAACAAGAACCTGCCGTCGCTCGTTAAGTGCAGCTTTTGGTGTCCAAGAAAGGTTACTTGAATCGCGAATCATCTACTTTCACGAACAAGAGGTGGCTTTTGAATGTTTTGTGGGAATGGACTGCAAATGTAATAGGATCCATGAAGGCCAACACGCGAAGCACGTCAAAGCCCGATTTTCCCAAGCGCTTGCAAGTGAAAGGGGCAAAAATCACACTTTAGAGACGGCCCTGGATCCATATTCCTATTTATGCGAAGATTGCATTGGGAAAAGACTCACTATCCCACGAAACACCTTTCCAGCCCTGTCGAGTTTGGCCAGCAGGTTGAGTGGTGGACTTACTAAATTTTACGCTAAGGTCTAGGAGGATAATCTCATATATAGGCTCCTCTGGGAGAGAAGAGACCCAAAAAGGCCACATTGCCACAAGAGCTATGCCCACCTAGCTGGCCATGGCCGTCGAGGACTGGTGCACTGAATTGAAACCATCAGGCAAGCCACCTATCTGGTGTGAGTGTAGAGATCATCGACGTACAATATAGCGCTGCGACCCCCGACTCTTTTAGTCTCCCTTCTGACGGAACTCCGGTATTGGGTGAGAATGTCATTACAACAAAGCTTTGGACAGCTGGAGGACGCTAAGTTGGACCAGACATGGTTCCATGATCACGACTTGAGCTAGATGACCAAGTCCTGGCGGAAACAACAAGGGAGAAGAAAGTCGAATGCCTTGGGATGCCGAAAGTCAATTACGGTAAGATACTCGCGCTGGTACTGATCAAGAAGCAGGTTCAGGGCGAGGAGTTCTACTATTGAGTTGGCATAGATGACCTAAATGAGGAGGTGATCGAGGATACAGCTTTGATGGAGATCAAGGTTGAATGATCGACTACTTGCTCTAAATGAAAACCAAAAAAGGGTGGGGTAAAAAAGAGAAAAATGTAAGTCCTGTGGGATTCAATCTTGCACCTTTCCACGCCGCAACCCCTGGGTCAGATTGGAGAACTACTCATTGACTCCCCCTTACCCAGGGTTTTGTAGGATTGGTACTGGGTGTCAATTGCACCACACATGACTTATTGATTATAAATCTACAATCAGTAATTATATACCACCATGCTGCATTCCCACATCACCTTCACCTACCGATATTGACGTTCCCGTGCTAGCTGCGAATAACACATTGGTTTTCGGACACACTCAAACTTTGTTGTATATATGATGGAGGGTTCTACATCTACGTTTTCTAAGGCAGATGCCTTTCTGTTATTTTCCGATCTGTCCAATGCTCCCCTTTCCCTATCCAGTGCTTTCTTTCAACTCATACATCACCACTGTAACCCCCTTTCTTGGGCGTCTTCAGGGAAACCGGCAGTGTTAGGCGCCACGGTAGGAGGTTTCCTCTACCCGGACGCTACTTAGACTAACGTAATCCACAAGTGAGTTAGCCATACAAGCGAGTTAGCCAGGCCAAATCTCACCAGAATCGGGATATTTCATTGCCCTCTATCTCAATAACAACATTATAATAAAGACTAAAAGTTGGTAGATAGACTTTACTAGTCATTTTAAGTCTTTTCTTAAATTTATAGAGCTTAGTTATGGTAGTGGTAGATATATCTAGGTCCTAGGTGTTAAAAGGTGCTAGAATCTACTCTGACCTAGGTATATCCACAACTACAATGGCTAGAGCTCTATAAATTTAAGCAAAGGCTTAAAATGACTAACTAGTAAAGTCTATCTACCAACTTTTAGACTTTATTATAATGCTATTGTTGAGATACAGTATCCTGATTTTGGTGAGATTTGGCCTGGCTAACTCACTTGTGGATTACGTTAGAGATTCATAGCCTCCAAAGTCATATCCAAAGCTGAGGAGATCAATTGGTCTCTACTGGAGCTATCCTCGGGCGGTTCAGGGGCAAGTCAGGCGTTGAGAACCCATTCAGTGCATCTAGTCACCTCCGATCACGAACATACCGCAAAGACATTCCGATATTCTCGATTCCATAAGATCCAAAATGATGAATAAAGAGCGCGGCGACTGAAATACTTGGTTCAAAATTGCAAAGTTTAGGGTTGAGGCGGTCCCTCTGGTTCTAAGCCATGCGGTGGGTTAACCTTCACCATCAGGATCGGAATACTGGAGACGACATGTGAAGATAGGGGTCTTCGCCGCAACGCTGCATCCAAACTTTCCTATACTAAACCGGAATCTCTGCTAACGCCTTTTCTTTATATTAACTATCTGCCGAACCTTGATCTTCCTACCCTAGGTCCTCGCCGCTCTATGACAACAGTGTCCTGGCAACCCGTGCCTCGAGCCCCCTGTCCTCTGAACCGGTTACGTGAGCTAGGATGAAGCGGCTCTACCGTGACTATGCACTAATCCGACGTGGCATTGGAGAGCGTCGGGTTTGCGATTGGTCCTGCTTTTCGAAGGACCTTAAATGCGGAAGGGGGAGCAGTGACGGAGTCTTTGTGAGAGATCCATCGTAGGATGCCACTGAATCCCTGATGGAATTTCCTGCTGTGACAAGTCCAGCGATAAGCATCGCAACACAGGAGGATTGCGGCCTTTTATTCATCGGTTTATGCCAGCCGTGATAGTCATTCGGGGTCATCCGAAGGCGGAGCCGTTTGGAGCGTCCTAGGCGCTCCATTCCATTTAGTATGCATTGTTGTGGAGACAAACATCAATCAGACAACAGAAGAGTCACGAACCATTGGAATTACTGCATTCGATACTCAACAACCGGACCCAAGAGGAGCCAAAGGGTAGTAATCGAATCCACATCGTGGAGTTACCTACCAAGTAAGTCCATAGCCACGAGGCTAAACGAATAGCGCATCTACCCACAATCAAGTGACCTCCATCCACCAACCTAACGCACCGGTCGATCAAGCACGCCTCAAACAATGCCCGGCCATCATCCCCGCTGTCCCACCACGCCAGAAAACAATGCCCGTCCCAGAACACCGACCTCCTCCCACCGCCGCGTCCCACCTTCCGCTGCGACTTCCTGCGCGCGGGTTCCACCGCATGCGATATCCCCGCATGCGGCGCCAATCGTCGGGGTGGGTGATGATGTAGAGGGCGGATACGGCAGGATCGGCGGGCCGTTGGGAATCGGGCTGGATGGAAGGGGTGGAGATGGGGTTTGGGTCGGGAGGACCGGTTGGTTGGGGAGGTGTGTGATGGGTTGGGAGGTTGGAGGTGGAGGTTACACGGGGGATATAGGCTTTTTGAGCGGATCATGCGATATCCTTGCGCATCACTGTAGTGTCTACACTTGGCGAGTGGGACGTCGACTGTTCGTTGACCTGATGGAGGTCGAGCAGACGGTACGCCGTTTCTTAGTTTTTTAATGTAGTAGGTCGGCACTATATGGAATTCAAGCCCATCCCGGCGGCGATCACCCATTCCCTTCCGTCTAGCTGCTCCCTTGCCGCTGCGGCAACCAGGTAATCGGTCTACGTCGGGAGGCATATGATAGATTACCTAGCACTTAACATCCATCAGATGCGGTACCGTGATATACCGGATCAGTTGTGGTGCCTTAATCTGGGGAGATTGAAGCGGACGGGGGGTGATGAGCTGAAGGCATGTCGGTTGGGGAGGAGAGATAGACGAGAGGTAATATACTAGGGTTCGCGAAAGGACCTACAGTACTCCGTACTATGCTCGGGATGATGCGATTTACGAGGAAGTGAACGGCGTTAATATGGCTTGGATCTTTGCACTGTCTTGGTCTCGGTCTCTGGATTCTTAGTATCCATGCAATGGATATTGCGGGAGCAATCGGATAGACTCCTTTAGATGCGATGCGAGGTTTGGGGAAGTTTGCTGGCTAGGAAATTATGCAGCCATCTGTACTCAACCTTGCATCATCAGCAGGATAGAGATGCAAGTTGAAGGGGAAGCTCCACCTCCTTATCTGCCTCTGCTTGGAATTCAGGAGGCTCGTTCTGTCACAGTCGCACGACAGGCTCCATCATCGTCTCTGCATCATCGAAACGTGCAATTTCGAGCCCATGATTGCGAGAATGTCGCGAATCCGATGGAACGTCCGATTGACCACGAAACAAACTCGTCCGATCAGCACGTGATCCCCGCAACCGAACCAAGCTGACCTGCGTATAGATTCATTTGGCTTACCGCTGCTGCATCCTCGTCGTTGCACAGGAAGGACGTGCCATTCGTAGGATTCATTTATCCCCCGTTGATCTCCCGACCCCGACATTCCCCAGATTTTTATTAGTTGCGCATGTTAGACGTTAGCCTATATCCATACATGCCATTTACCCAGGATTCGGCTGCGCAAATTATAAATATGCCCATCAAATGTGATTCAGGCACGGTGCTCTGGAAGCCCCGCACCGACTCCCCTGTGCACCCTGCGTTCCTCGCCCCAACGTGCACGGAAACATCAAACATCGAAGCGGCTGAAACACTGTGGTAAATTTGGGGCGCGCACACCCGTCCACTGTGGGATGTTTCAGATTCGTGGAATCCTGGAGCCGGAGAGGTGGTCGGCTTGGTTCCGCTAGTGATTCAGAGGGGCAGCGAACGGACGCGTCTGTCTCAGACATAGTTTAGGGCCTGTGTGCTAGACACAAAGGGACTATTTATTGTTGTGGCGGTTCTAGGGTCGTGGAGGTTCGGGTACCTGCTTGGTAGGCTGTTGGTGACATCGGGACGGGTAGAAGTGATGGTATCTAATCTTAGAGTCGTGGGGAGAGGTGGAGGTACCGTATGAACGTGTGTCAATTGTTGAATCTGGACTATTGGAAGACGTGTCCATGAGTTGAGCCGTTTCAGCATTCAAGCCCATCTGAATCCGATGTGATTTGGAGCAGGGCAATCCCTGGCGAAACCGGTAACAGCGAACATCAAACGCTCGACCCTTTGCACTATTTTGCAATTTGCATAGTAGCTCCGGGATGCGATGAGGGGATTGATCGCTTTTCGGGTAGGTTAGTATTTAGTACGGAATAGGATTAGAGGATCATTTCCACCACATCTTTATGTTCAGGACTTCAGGTATGGATACACGCGGTACGGAAGTATCCGAGGTATCCTGAACGGTCGAAAGCGACATGACCTTCCCGAAATGTCTCCTTGTCCACCACTCAGAAATCGATCCAGCTCATATCACATCGAGGGATTTTGCGCAAACCTGCAGTGCCGTAGACACGGCATACGACCACGCAATGGACATCCAGCGACAGGTCAAGCGTGCGGACCAGGCGTTTCAAGTTTGCCTGACCAGCCTCATGATCTCCATTCTTCACCGTTGCGCAAGGGAATATCCTGGCGTTGCCGAGTTGCGATAGTCTGGTTAATTTCACCTGATAATACGGACTACGGAGTTCTTATTAAAGGCATGGATATATGTACTTGGTACTTCTTGTCATTGTGTAGTATGGTACACCAGTGCTCGCGGGCCCTCTTCATGAGACGGCTTGCGATTCACGACCTAACTGTCGGGATGGCAACGCGGGTAGCGGCAGTAGCGAACGTGGAAAGCAGCACAGTTCGATCGATCGAACTTCCGTAACGAACACAATCCGCTCTGCGATTGATGAGAATGGCAAATGGGTAACGAGTGGCAATCGATCAGGTATGACTTCTGATATGTAGTTGGATGAAGGAATTGACCCCGCTGCACGCCGCCCGATCAGCACCATCGCTAAGAATAAATCGTTGAGCTCGAGCTGGTGGTGGCATTGTCCCCACGATTGGGCGGGATGTCGCGATACCCCTGGTCAGGCACCCCTCCTGATCCCTTTCGCCTCACTGATGAGCCACAAGTTGGCACTGATGATTGATGATGTCGAAATGCCAATCAGACTCGGTTCTGGTGTCTGCAAGGCTGAGAGCGCAAGGCACGAACCAGGACGGCATCGGACCATCAACAAGAAGCAGAGATGCTGTGAACGCGTGTTGTATTTCCAACCAGGCGGGGGGATATTTGGTGTCAATCGTGTTGGAAGATGGTTTGAGATACAGACTTCAGGATTCGATGACGACTTCTCCTTTTTATGTAAATCGATCTAACTTGACTCTTCTCTACAAAGACGGGGTTCCGTATCTCTTATTATAACATAGCAAACAGATTTGTTTATTGATCGGTGTTGATATTGTTCGCCCAGCTGCTGTTAATCTCCAAATCTTCTTGGTGGCCCCTGCCGCTAATCCTATTTGGGCATCGTATGAAGCCACAATAACTCAATAATAAGGCACATGAACCTCCACGCTGACGGCCACATATTTCAAGTTTTCAAGCTGAAAATCTCCAGTCGATAATCAATCAATAGTAGTAATTAGTCTCCTACGGAGTAGATTTCATGCAATCCATGGGGATTATGAAATCTTCACGCGCTGCAGTGCGACCATCCAGTAGAACCTTTGATACGCGCATGTCCAGCAGAAAATCAAGCTAACCTTCCCATGCTCTCGACCTAACAGCCATTACGTGTTCTGTATCTGTATTCTACACATTATAGCTTCTCAGGAGACCATTACAGTTCAGACAGCTATGAATCCCGCTCTCCGAGATTAGGTATACATATCATACCGTCCCTAACTATATCATGTGCAGAATAGAAATATTCTCAGCTCTGCGAAAACAATAACTATTAAGGCGATGATAAGGCCTGTTAATAGGAGCAACAACCTGGAAGATTAGAAGGAAGGAACCCCCCGGTCGACCTTCCCACTTAGCACCAAGGCCGCGACCCTCCCGGCCCACTGAGCTGACCCACCACACCCCATCAATTCACCAATCAGCCATCCCTGCGGGTTCAGTGGAGGAAAGAGCGGAAACTGAGAGAGGGAAAGCGCCGAGCAGCGAGCGACCATCGCAGATCGATTGGATTCAACGTGAACCGCCGCCATGATTCTTCACTTTGCAGTATTGGACTCTTAGTGTTCTCACTTCTCGAGTTACGACGACAAGACTTCTTCCCCCCCAGTCCATCCAACTCTCTCTCTATCCACTTCCACCTCTCCTATTCCCATTTCATCCCTCATCCTGATGATCAGGGAGTTTGGTTAATGTCTTCGGTTCCACACGATTTCTCCATCCGATCTCATCACTTTCGTCCATCGAGGACACCTGGAACGTCCCTGAATCGACCCGTATTCAGCTTCCCGACGTCGCGGATCACCCTTCTCACTCGCTGACGATTCACCTTCGAATATTTCCTTCTCCTTCACGATTTCACGACCTTATATACGTATTCCCGGATCTGGATCCATTGCTCTGCCTTCGTTTAGCTTTCACGACCCTGTTCCGAGTTCTGCACTTCGTTTTCTCGCCCGACTGCGTCTCCTGAAATCTTACCCCAGCGTTTCAGGTTCCTGGATATTCTACCCAGCCCAATACCGTCGACAACATCAACGAAACGCTTCGGACGGGTTCGATGCATGCCATACGATCGAGACCGATTCACCATTCCCTTTGATGCACGACATCTGACGTTCGTTCTCGGAGGATTTCCTCAGGGTCGTCTTGGGGTCGAGCATAGTTATTTCCGATCCCCACACCTACTTGCACGATTCAGGGCACGCAATCCAAATCGCTCGGCGACGATCTTTGCGATCAGAGCACACAAATTCAACATCGGCCATTGACACGGTGGAATAACATCGTGGGAGGCCAGCACAGATCACAACTCGTTATTTGAGTATCTTTATCGGGTGGAAACGCAAATCGTAGCCACGATGGATGTCGCGACGATGGATTCTTCCACAGAATACCCCGACATGGAGTCCCCTATGGATCAGGATGATGTGATATACCCGTGCAAAGGGTGCGGAGAGGTGAGTTACAAATGAATGGAGTGTCCTGAACGAGGTTCTGACCGCGCCCCCCTTTAATAGGTTCTTGAAGAGGGCAAAGCATTTGAGTTAGCGGGAAACCGCTGGCATATTGACTGCTTCCGCTGCCATACATGCGGTCTTCTCCTCGATAGCGACGCGAACCTGCTGCTCCTCGGCGACGGCTCGCTCATCTGCAACAACTGCACCTACTCCTGCAGCGCATGTGGGGACAAGATCGAAGATCTCGCGATCCTCACCGGCGAACAAGCCTTCTGCGCGTCATGTTTCTGCTGCCGTAACTGCAAACGCAAGATCGAGAACCTACGATATGCGCGAACCAGCCAGGGCATCTTTTGCATGAGTTGTCATGAGAGCTTGATGGCGCGGCGGCGGAAGAAAAGCAGGCAGAAAAGCGAACGGGCGGCAGCGGAGAGGAACGCTCACATTAGTAAGGAAAAGAGTCTGCCGGCGCTACCGCAGAGCGCGGTGCCACCGAACGAATTCAGTCGCTCGACTCTGGGTGCGCCGGAGCCATATAACAACGATGTGTCGCCGAGACCGGGGAGTAATAAGTCTCGACAGGATCTCTCTGCTGGCGAAAGAGGGAGAGATGCGTCGCCGGGCTCATTCGAATCGAGTCGTAAAGGTATGGACGCACTTCATCGTATGACCTATTTCGAGCTGACTCTTGCAGAAACCCTACCCGCCAGCACCTATAAGGACGAATCTCGAAATTTGTCGATGGATGGGAGTGTGAATGGCATCAATAGTGATGATGGCGTATTCGTCCCATTAGCTTTCGATCCAAATCCCGCCCCGGATCCATCTCCCATGGCCAAATCACAACCCTTTAGCGACGGATCAGCCTCGCTCAATGAGAACTCCGACCTGTCTGAGTCCACTTCATCTGTACGCGCCGCTAATACCCGCGACTACTTCAGTCGAACGAACGCCCCTCCTTCAGCAAACCACCGCGAGATGCTTAAAGAAACGCTTGGTCATAAAGCCAACTCGTCCCGGTCCTCCTCGGCGGACCGTGGAAAGGAGGGTCCTGGCACTCCCCATATCATGTTTCAAGAAAAAGGGCGAGTGCCATCGGATCAGGTACGGTCACGGAAACAACCAAGTGGTCCGCCATCGCCAGCACCACCGGCGGACAAACAATTTGGGAACACGACTCAATCAGTTGCATCCCCAAGTTCCGGAGCGCCGGGAGAGTTCAAACTTCAGGATGCACCGAAATCAAGAAAAGCCTCGTCGCGTCGAAGTACCGGAAATCACAAACAGGAGGGTCATCTACACACCCATTCACAGTCCGGCAGATCTCCGGGAACTTCATCGGTCTCTTCACCCAACTCGGATTTGATAGCTCGGACCCTTTCTCCACCTCTGGAACACTCCATCACCAACACGTCACACACGTCGGATCCTTCCGAAGGCTCCTACTCTTCATATGGCGATTCGCCAAACCTCACACAAGGTTCCCCTCCTATGGCATCACACCGTGCAGAACTACCCCAACGAGGCGACTCTCTCGCCGCATCATCGCTGAAACAGACGATCCCCAGGAAAGAAATCGGCGCTCCTAGATCCGATCCTACCACGCCAACCGGGCCGACCGGTCCAACCCGATTTGCCCATGACCGAGCGGCGCCTCCCGCGTCGTCGTTGCGGACACAAGAGTCACAAGTGAATGGAACGCAAGCAGGCGGAAAGTATGCCTTGGACATACCGCACCCGCCTCAGCGCTCCGCCAGTCGGCCCAATGCCAGCCCTCAGCAAGGCATGGAGGCATCGGATGATGGCGAAGGTGGCTCGTTCACTTCACCTCGACCACCACCCGCGCCACCAACCGAGAATAGACACAAGCCGGGCGAATCGATCAGCTCTGTTCATAGCGAATCCGCATCGCCATCCTTCCTTCGGTATAGCGGCGGAGGGGAATTCAGCTTGGACGAGGACATGGCACGCATTATCCGCGGGGAAGATATGCTCCCCGCCGAGAAAGACTCGTCGCTTGCGCGCCGCATATCCAACGCGGTTAGCAAGCACTCGCGTAGTTTTAGTGACCGTGGATCCCGCTCATCAGCATCGCAGAAATGGCCCCGAACCACCCCCATCAACGGCACGTTTGACATCAGCAACCCAACGTCACCCGACGCGACCCGGGATGATCCATCCGTGCTGCGGAATCAGTTGCGGCGCGCACAGCAGCGCATCGCAGAATTGGAGGCCGAGAAGGTCGGTCTTCAGGATGTGATCAACTCGTCGGCGGAGATCAAGCATGTCAACTCTGAGCTTCGCGAGAAGCGGTCCACCGTTGCTGTCCTCGACTCGCAGCGCGAGATCGTCCTCCGCGAGCTCGAAGTGATGACCGATCAGCTCCGCAAAGCGAAGGATTCCAATTCACCAGCCACACCTTTCGACATTGCCGCGCTGAAGAGCGATGCCGTGCGCGAGCTTGCCGCCAGCCTCCGCGTTCTCGAAGACCAGCTTCGTTCGGAGATCGAAGAGCTCATGGAGAAGCGGGCCGACCTCACACAGGAGATCGCAGACCTGATCCAGATGAAAGACAAAGGCTTCCAAGAATACGAAGCGCTGTCCACACGAAACGCACAGTTAAACACGTTAAACCATCAACTCGTCCAGAGCATTCAGGAGATGTACAAAGCCGGGAAGCACCCCAACGGTTCCGCCTCCGTCGACGCCGGCCGCCCTGGCACCAACGGCCTCGGCATCTACCACCACCAAAAGGACAGGTCCGAAGCCTCCGTCGACCTGCGCACCATCATCAGCGGCCCCACCAGCACCGGCACGAGCATCAGCGGACCGAGCATCAGCGGCCCGATCCCCGCCGAGGCATCCTACGCGCACCTCCTCAATGGGCCGGATGGCCTCGAACACGAGCCCGTGATCGTCGGACCCCCGCACGTCGTCAAGCTCGACCGCACGAAGGGCAAGGCAAATATGTGGAAAAAAGGCGGCGCCTCGCTCGCGAAGAACATCAAGGGCATCCGCGGCGCCCTCAGCGGCGACCGGGCCCACGAGATCCCCCGCTATGGCAGCATCGGCGGTAACGGCACCATTACTGAGCCCGGCATGCCCTACAACTCTATGCCCGCCGGCCAGCAGCCAAACGAGCTCGGCACCCCGAACCTGGCCTCCAACAACAACCGCGCCGGAGAGCGCGAACGTGAGCGCGAGCGGCAGGGTTTCGGGGGGCTGTTCGGCAGCGGGCAGAAGGTCGGGAACAAGCTTGGACCCGGCCACGCGCACCTCAAGTCGCACCACACCAACTCATCCAGTCCGTCACTGTCAGACGGGACGAAAGACACGCAGTTATTCGGCACGGATCTCGCGACGCGGTGCGACCAAGAGAAGCGCAGCATCCCGTCGATCGTGATTCGATGCATCGAAGAAGTCGAACTCCGCGGCATGGACGCAGAGGGAATCTACCGCAAATCCGGCGGCAGCGGGCAGGTGAACAGCGTGCGCGCCGGCTTCGAGAAGTCGAACGAGTTCGACATCTCGGATCCGGATTTGGACATCCACGCGGTAACGAGCGCACTGAAGCAGTATTTCCGACGGCTGCCCGAGCCGCTGATCACGAATACGGTGTACGATGCGCTGTTGGAGGAGGCGACAGGCGGGAATATCGGGGCGGCGAGTCCCGGCGAGGAGGTGCCGGAGCCGGAGATGGAGGAGCGGGGACGGCGGATCCGCGAGGTGTTTAAGGGGCTGCCGGGGTGTCATCGCGACTGTCTGGAGTTCTTGGTGTTCCATCTGGTGCGGGTGGTGCGGATGGAGAAGATGAATCTGGTGAGTTTTTTGTTGGATTTCCTTCGTTCTGCTCGGTGCGCTAATGTTTTGATAGATGACCCCCCTCAACCTCGCCGTGGTCTTCGCCCCGACCATCATGCGCCCCACCTCCATCGAACGCGAGATGAGCGACGTCCAGGCGCAGCGCGTCGCCGTGCAGACCTTGCTGGAGCAGTACAAGACCATTTTCGACTCCGAGGCGTAATCGACCCGCCCCTCTCCCCTTTCCCCTCCTTCTTTCTCGAACGATTGAACAATCTCCTACCCCGCTTCTACTTCAGCGTGCTTTCCCCTTCCAGAATCGAATGATATCCGATCCGCGCGACATGCCCGGCTCCCCTCAAAACAGATCTACCCAACCGATTCTTTGCTTGTCGTTTATACATTTTGTCTCTTTTCTGCCGGTGATACCACATAGCGGCGTTTGCTTCGTTGAGCCAATCTTCCCCCACTACTTTGTGTCGTCGGGCGGATGGCCGGATGCGTTTTGCTTGGTGTCTATCGTGTGGAAACGGAGTAGGGACGGAGTTAGATGCGTCGATCGGGTTTCTTCTTCTTTTTCTTCTTCATTTCGTGTTTAGAGATTGGACGTGTGCGGGGGGGGTTGGTTGGTATGCGGTGGATATTAGCCCTGCGAGCGAGTGGCGGAGGGGAGTGAGTGGGCGCTCGGACGCTGCTGGAGGCAGATTGAGGTGTTGAGAAATGCGGTTTCTTTGAGGGGGATGCGATCTAGTGGAGGATCGGGATGATAGGTGGAGATAGGGCCTCGGTTGGCTATATGTTTTGTGTTGTCAATAAGAGCGATATGATGAGCGAGTTTCTCGTATCGATATGTTGTATGTTTGATGTGACTGTGTGAACCGACTCAGTAGAGATTCGAAGTGTTTGATTTCTTGGTCCTGAGAGACTCCCCTCGTTTCGCTTGGCTAGTATGCACTGACTAATCAGGGGTGGATTTGCCGAAGGGTCAGGATTGTTCTCTGCTATGGATGGGACGTGCCTGACTGAGGGCGGAGGGGTCTCGCAGCAACCACATCAGTCGCGCCAGTCAGTGTACTGCTTATTTCTGGTAATGTGGGTTGCGAGCAAGCAGGATCTGCCAGGACAGAGCACGATATTCAGTCGCAATCAGTGGCTTGACTAAGAATGAGATAGGTGGATCACAATCATGGACATTGACGTGGCATGGGAGGAGTCTGGCTTCCGGCCTCCTTCAAGGGACATGGATAAGTACTAGAGCTATGCTATGATCAATGCTATGTATGTACACCTCACACGCGTGGCACTCATCTGGGCAGGTCCAATAACGATCTGCTATTGGCCAGAGCAGGGAGGTAAAAGGTCGGACCCTCGTAAATCTCTTTCCCTATCGTAGTTGGGCTCAAATACCTCCGTCTCATAGACTGTGCCGAAGCAGACCTCAAATTCTAGGTAAGACTGCGAGCCTTAGAACGGTGGCATGGCTGCGGTGACGGTTTGCGAGATTGCTCGATTAGCGAGGTCATGTGCAGACGGCACTACCATAGGGGACTAGCGAGCGGACGTCTAATGGTAGTTATGGCAGTGCAGCTCGAGCTCAAAAGTGGTATCGCCAACGTGGAACAGGTTCTCGGCGCGCTGATTTCGGCAGGATTGCAGTGAAAGATTGAAGGGGATTTCCAAGGGTTCGAATCCTAAATTTAAGCTATTGGTTGCTTGAATTCGCTCCTCAGAACATGAGATATCAACACCACGATTCGTAGACTTGTTGAGCAGTCTAGTGGTAATGAAGCGAAGGAGAATTGCCTCCGGAAGGGAATCTACTAACGGTGCTGTTGGTGAGGAAAACGTAGAAAGTGTAATAGGATCTGATGGTTTGATAGGGATATATATGTTAAGTCGTCCGAGTTACACGTAATGAATGCTGCTAGAATAGACCGGTTGGAGGAGACAATCGCCACTTCAACCACGCCTCTCTTCTGTCCTGAGTCTCATTCCCAAATTCTTTGAATGGCTGCACTGCCACGTAGCTCCCTTGTACTCTGCTTTCTATGCGAGACAAGTTGCCAGCGACGGTTCAACGTAGCCGGGCTTCGATCAGTCAGCAGTTGCCGATTTAGTTCTTTTGTGACTGTCCCCCAGTGGCAGTTGTGCTTCTTAGCGAGGCGAAGAAGCAGGCCATCTTCAGCGTGAGTGAAGGGAATCCTCTTTCGTCTCTGTTTCGCCCGCTTATTTCTCCTGCTTGCCCTGCTGATCCCTCTAGTCCTACTGACTCTTCGGATTCCGGATCCGGATCCACAGCGACCGGGTCGCTGCCGGTGCTAGCACAGGTGCCTGTGCCCGTCCACTGTCATAAGACAGGCTCAGTCCACCGTCCTTTGGCGGCGAGGAGGTGTTAGGGGTCCCGCGACCTTCCACCCTAGCCGTTCGTAGATCCCTCGGTCGAGCGTCTCACGTGCCGGGTAATTCGAAACCTGCTGCGACGCAAGTAATCCCGCGAACAAGCGGTTTGTTTGATGGGAGCCGTCCAAAATCTCAGCCAGGCACTGCCGCACTGGTTCCGGGCACCGGGAAGCACCAGGGGTCGATCCACTGAACGCGGTTCGAATGATGACGACGGGGGAGTCGGCAGTGGCGGAAGAGCGGGTGGACGGTACGGAATCAGCGGTGGTGATGCTGATGCGCTGTGACTGAAAAGAAGTAAATTCAAATAAGTCAACCACCCCAGTTCCCGTGCACCCCGTCTCTCAAAACTCCAACAGGACACAGAGTAGTACAAATTGTGCGTAATTCAACGCACACAATATATTTTTCTATGGCTGTGTTCGAAATTTAAAACACATTGACTCAAAAGTAGCCCGTTGAACTTGTCATAATATATCCGCAGCCTCAATTTGTTGGCGTTTCACAGCCTTTTGAAGCCCTTCTTTCAAGTAGGCGATCCCCGTATTCTTGATTGAAAATGCCTTCGCAACTTTCCCCCCGAAACCCCTTGGAACCCCGCTTCATCATGCCCTTGTACTTTTGCGTATATATATCCTTTGGGCCTTTTGGTGCATTATATGATATAGGGAAACTAAGTTCCGGGGTTACAGGGCGTTGTATGATGTGATTCTGGTTCAATTGGGTGCTTTGTAGGACTTTGTCAGAGTTGAACGGAACCATTCCCGTTCCACAAAATCCTGCACGGATATTATGTATATCCAGAGCCTGGATTCTTGATTTATAGTATATAGAGATAAAATTATGCTTTTGACAGGTGCAGAGCTGTCAAGAGAAGCCAATTTGCTAAGCTCTTTCTGGTAGTTATCTAGACTTCAGAGGTGAAAAACACGCAACATCAAGGGGCTGGAGGAAACGGGAACAGTGAGCAGGTAAAAATAAGAGAATGCACGGTTTTCCTTCGTCAATTTTCATGAACTCTACCGTGGCATGAGAACCGAGCCCATCGCACACTAAAAGGCGCCAATCGTCTGAGGAGTTCAGTGAGTTACTTTCCGGTCAGAAGTACTTTTCCATCCATTGGATGCCGATCTCGTTCTATGTCTAGGCATTCTCTGAGCTAGTATAGTGCCAATTTGGTATATCATTATGGTTTAGTGGAAACCAGGAAGACTGTACCAATTTTCCTTTGAAGATGATTAGGGGGGAGATTGTTCGACCGTCTGCTGAGATAGCTTCAAGAACTGAAACCCATTCGTAATCCGCGGGCATTTGGTATATGTATGCGTTTTATTTCACCCTTGTGAAGAAGTCTGAGTAAGAGCAATTACTCTCCCGTTAGTTCCGCAGCCAAGGGATAGACCGTGTTCGTCGAAATTCCACTGGTTCGCGATTTTGGTATTGTATCGCTCGCAAACGTGTCCATACGTCTCGCTCGAAGAACTTCTGAATGACCTCCTTTTCTGCGTGATTTACGCGAGCAGCCTCGATTGACCTTTCCGACCATGGCTTTTCCCTGAAGATTCTGTCGTGAAACGCTGGTGGTCCAACTTTGCCGCAAGGAGTATCATCGCCATTTTCTTAGGCGATTGTATTAGCACATTTATTGATAGAATCAAATTCTCCGTCCTGAACAGCTTGTATAGCAAGTTCTATGGCGTTTTCATTGATTTTAGGCATTTTCACCATATATTTTGCATTGGTTGAATTGCTTCGTATATTTCAAACCAATCTATCAATCTATCTAGATTTCATGGGGGCTGCACGGAAAGGGGGGTTCACGGGAACTGGGGTGGTTGACTTATAATGCGAAAGAAGAGCCAAAGATGTGAGCAGTGGAAAATGGCCGTTTGCAGAAACGTTGTTTGACATCACAGAAGCAGGGAATGATGAGGGTGGATTTAAAGCCGATGGCAAAATTGTTTGCTCAAGTAAAGCATGATCACCCCGTTTCATCGGTGTCGTCTAGCCCCTCGATGTGATTGCTTCGGATATTCCTAGAGCCAATGATACCTGTAGCAATTTGTTTGCTACCCTGGTAGCATGGGGAACAATAAAGAGAACAGAAACGTGGTTGTTCGGGGGGCTGATGGAGATCAAACGCCAGAATTGTGAATGTAACACTCGTGACTGCTTCTGAGGGTTGAAGATTCCTGGTTCTTCTGGCCAAGGAATCAGAGTAGGATCTAAATTGAAACCATTGAACAATTGTTGGAGGGACTTGCACGAACAAGCTTAAACCCAACGCCCGATGGATTCACCCAGTCCATTGGAATGAGCACTCATCTTGAAAATAGCCACATTCTCCTGGCTGCTCCCCAATGCCTCTCTATAAGGGAAAATGTCAATGCCAACTCGCCGCAGCTTCGCTAGAGGTTGGGCGAGAGGAACTCTTCTTGCCCCGCAGTACCCGGACAAGAAATTCCAATATAACGGGGTGGAGTTGGCCCCTCAGCTCATTCAGTGCAATGGATACGTCAGGTTCAACAAATTATACAGGCAAAGCACTTCCAGACTGGAGGGGTACTGTAGAGTGAGCAGAGATGAAAGTCACCACCGGACTTTCTAAGAACCAGACTAGACATTGCCACAACAACAGCAATGGGGGACGGCCAAAACAACGATACAAGTTATAAGAGTGAACAGAAACCAAAACCGAAGTCCTTAAACTTCCTAAAGGCTGGTAAGAACTTTGTAGAAGCTGAACAGGCCATATAATTAACGGAGAAATATTTCAACCTGCTGGACTGAATGGAAGCCAACAGGCCATTCGTATTATGACAGGTATAAGGGATAGGCTTTGGATGGAAATATCCGCACAACTCTTCACTCTGAGATACTCTCAGCTCAGGGGAAATGAGAAGTATCAGATCAAAATCCATGAGGGCGACAGGAGAGGTCATGACAAACTGAAGTGAAGTTGAAGTTGGGGATGTGTGGCTGCGTGCTTGAATGAACTGTGGCTGGTGTTGACACCTAAAGTAGTTACATGATTGACCAGCATCTCTTTACTGTTTTCCCGAACTTCAACCGCCGGAGTTAACTCGGACCTATTCCTATCTCCAAAATTCAACGACGCCACAACGCCACAGCAAAAATCCAGCGCCATAATTGCACCGCCACAATGACTCCTCCAATCCCCAACCGCGAATTCGACCTTGGAGATGAAGACCCAGATGATATTCCAGACTACCCAGACGTCTGTCGGCGTTGTCAAGGAAATCATCAAACAAACGAGCATAGAGATCAACCAGTATTCGGCAACATTATGGAGAACCCTCTTCCCGACCCGCGACCTCCGGGATCCGGTCCTGATGCCATCATGGTCCCTGCCAAGCACTTCTATACAGAGGCGCAGATCCAGCTTCGGTTGCAGCAGATCGGGATGGATGAGGCGAAGGATATGCCGGCCAGGTTGCAGGGAATCAGCATGTTGGATGATGTTAGAAAAGCACTTTTGATGTGAGCTGCCCACTCCACTTTCCACTGCTTCTTGACTTTCATCGGCGTCAAGCTCAGTCCTTAGTCATTCATCGATTCAAGGGTTCAAAAGTACACAGAATGGACAAGGAGACTAATATTTCATAGGCCCCAGAGAACTCTCAATACAGCGATCCAGATCTTCCACCGTTTCCGTCTCCTTCATGCAATCACAGTGGAGAGCGGCTACGTCCTCATTGTACGTGACATTCATCTCAAACCATCAGTCACAGGACTTGACTAACGATATGTCTCAGGAGGTCGCCTGTGCTTGCTTGCTTCTGGCAGCTAAAATTGAGGACACTCTCAAGAAGCCCCGGGAGATTGTGTGTGCCGCCCATAATATGGGAAAAGCCAGCTCTGAGCACATCAACTCCGATGATCCCGTAGGTAGCAACCCCATCGCTCTGACCACCCCCTACCTGACCTAGAACCGTGTTCTAACCCCTCTAGATCCTCGAGGCATCCTCCAAAAATATCGTTGCTCTCGAGCGGCAGATGCTGGAAGCCATCGCCTTTGACTTCAAGTTCAAGTCGCCCCAGGCAATCACCACAAAGTTCGGCAGGAAGTACTGTGGGTTTACGAAGGAGGACAATCAAACTTCATGGCACCTCGCGGTGGATATCTACCGCACATGGGGCCCGTTGAAGCACACATACACGGATATTGCCCTCGCGTGCTGTGAACTAGCGGGTCGTCTTCTCGAGAAAGATATGACCGTGTATGAGACGGAACACCGGGCAAAGCTCTATGGGAATTACCAGTGTAGCCGGCTAATTGTGTTGGGTGAGTTCAAGCATTCCGCGAAGTTCCCGTCACCGGTTCAATCTTCAAACCCAAAGTATGACGACAAGATACGGAACGTTTGCTAATCAACCCAACAGAGATCCTCCTTGACCTGATCGACCTCTACCAACACCATCGAAACACCACCAAATGGGGCCAGAAATATCCCCCCGAACTCTGGACATCCATCCAATCCTCCCTCGAATCCGAGCGCGCTGCCGCCAACCTCCCACGCTACCGTCTTTCGCCCCAAGAAGCCGAGAACCTCGCCGCCGCCCGCGAGAACCGTGAGCCGCGCAACTTCACCAACCCCGGCCGTCCCATCGGCTCGCAATCCCAATCGGCCGCGCTCATGGCGGCGATAGGGGCGCGGAGCCAGACGGGGACGGTACGGTTCCTGTTCAACTCGGAGGCGGCGAGGGAAGAGGAGCGGGTGGTGAGTCGGTTCTTCGAGGACGTGTATGAGGAGGTGGAGGTGGAGATCGACAGTGATGGGAATGAGATCCCGGGGACGGAGAGGCCCGTGAAGCGGAGTCGGTTGGATAGGGGGAGTGAGATGGGGCCGTCCGGGACGAGGGACGAGTGAGTGGGGAGGGTGGAGGGGAGAATAACTCTCCTCTATGGTGGCTGAGATGGGTTAAGGAGAAGACTAGGAGATGAACCGGATTATCTGGATGACGAAAGGAGTAACGACTGGTGGAGTTTCACGGATTTGCTTTGTACGATTAGATACCCTATTCGGCCGCGTTACTCGGATTCAATTCCTTGAGTGACGTCTGAGAAGGCCGAGATCTGGCGCACTTGCGCCAGCAAAATCCATGATAATTACTTCCCACGGACGGGCGTATCGCCAGCTAGCTGCAAGAACCCATCAAATGTCGTTTATGACTGTTATCGACCGCCTATCACCCCATCTTCCCCGTCATCCACCCCACCCCGTCCTTCCCCCACCCCGTACCTCCCCCCCGGCGGGGCCATCTCCTCCAACCCATCCTCAATCTCACTCATCCTCAGCGCCTCCTCCACGCTGCTCACGAAGTGTTTCCGGCCGCCACACTTGTCGACGATCCCGCTCGCCACGAACAGCCGCCACACCCCGCTCCGCTCGCTCGGCACGCGGCAGAAAAACACCCGCACCCCGCGCGTCACGTACCCGTCGATGATCTCCGAGAGCACCTGCGCGCCCGCGCCGTCGAGGCTCGTCACGCCGTGCACGTCGAAGATGATGTTCCGGTTGTGTTCTTCCTTGCGGATGCGCGGGAGGGCCGGGTGTGCGGTAACGGTGCCGTGCGCCTCGAGGCGCTTCAGGCGGCCTTTGAGATCACCCGTGTTGGCGAACGTCAGCGGCTCGGGGATCTTGACAATCAGCGCGCCTTCGATGTTCTCCAGGCGCCCCGGCTCAGCTTCGGCGTTCTCGAACTTGTCGGTGGTGCCGGGAACGCGGCCGAGGATCTGGATGCGGGGGCGTGTGCTGTGGCGAAGGACGCGGAGGAGGGAGACGCCGATGCCGACGGCGATGCCAATCTTGAGGTTCCAGAAGACAGTGGCGAGGAAGATGAGGAGCATGAGGGTGAGCTCGGACCATCCACGGATGCGGAAGAAGAAGCGGAGGTCGTGGGGGGCTTCTTCGAGGAGGGAGTAGGCGACCACGGATATCATGGCGGAGAGGACGCCTTTCTGTCGAGGAGTTAGCAAACGGTATCGAAGCACTATTCCTATATTTGGAAATGAGGTACGAAAGCTCGAGCTTACAGGAAGGTAGTAGAAAGACGGCAGGAGGAATAAAATGCAAATCAGCGTGATCAGGCTGAGAAAAACACTACTCATCGGCGTCTTCCCGCCCGTCGACGCGTTGACTTTACTCCTCCCATACCCGCCAAACGCCGGCAGCGACATAAACAGCCCCCCAACAACATTCGCGACGCCCAGCGCCACCAGCTCTCGATTCGCGCTAATGTTGACGTTCTGCAAGCCGTTTTGGCCCCGACTATCCGCGATGCCCAGGCTCTTCGCCGCCACCGACGACTCGAAGAAGCCGAGCAGCGCGATGATAAACGAGGTGCTGAATGCATCGGAGGCGTACTTCAGGTGTGGGATGTCGGTGGGGAACTGGACCTGGAAGGGGGCGCCGTGCGTCTTGATGTTGCCGAGCACTTCGAGGCCCTGCTCGTCCCAACGGAGTTGCCAGGCGAGGATGGCGGAGAAGACGACGATGACGAAGCGGTCTGGGATGTATGCGACATTCGGGTAGCGGGGTTGGAGGCGCTTTTTGATTTCTCTGTGACTCGGTTAGTGATATCTCATATGTGATTATTTGGGAAGGATTTCACGGCATACCTGCACGCCATGATGATAGCGAAGGCTCCAAACGACACCGCGGTGGTCAACTTATGCGCCTTATCCATGTTCCGAACCAGGAAGACCACCTTGTCTATACAACTTCCATGCTCGACGCCGCCAACTTGTGTAGCTAGGTGGCTCAATCCCATCTCGGGGATCAGTTGATCAACGAAGATGACGATGCCAATTGCGCTGATGAACCCTCTCAAAAAAGGGCGACTGAGCACATTATCCAAGAACCCCAGCCGAAACAGCCCCGCGGAAAGGATGACCGCGCCCGCCATCGTCGTCACGATCCCAGCGATCTGGGCTTGCTCAATCGCATTCTCGTCTCCTGTCTTCCCATTTTTGATGTTGTCGCGGACGACTTGGCCGGTAAGCAAGGATCCGGCAGCTTCGGGGCCGACGATCATAAGCGGGCAAGTTCCGAGCATGGCGTAGATGATAGGGTTAAAGACGAAGCTGTAGAGGCCGTTGATCGGGGGAATGTGGCCGAGATTGGAGGCGTAGGAGAGTGCCATGGGGATGTAGATGGAGGCGACAGTAAGGGCGGCGATGAGGTCGCCGCGTAAGTATATCCATTTGTATTGGCCGATCCAATTGAGGAAGGGGATATAGTATGAGATGTACCTAATATCATTAGCGATCCTTGCAGACAAACCAGAAATGAACTTCAGGTGCGGGTATCCACTTACATTATCCGCCGATTCTTCACGCCATACTTATTTGCCAAATACTTCGTCGTTCCCGTATTCCTTCCCGGCCCGCCCCCCAACAACTCATCCGTCACCGCATCCCCCAACAACCGCCTCGTTGGATCCGCCGACCCATCCATCGACTCCCGTGTCCCACCCGGTTGTCGACCACGAAACCCACCCCCGCTCCTCTCCGACCCAAAGCTGCCATAGCTCCGTACGCTCCCCGGTCGCGGCGACTCCGCGCGAGGAGAGAATGCCCCGTGGCCGCAGTTCTCGGATCCGCAGCCTGACGCGGCGTCCCAGTCGGGGTGGTTGATTGCACGAGTGCGGAAGTGAGGGGTCTCAAAGAGGCCGAAAACGGGGGGACCGGCGGCACTGGGGGATGCGGTGATGGTTGTGTCGTGGGTGGAGGGGTGGATGCCGGCTTGGTCGACTTCGGGGTGGCTAGGGCTCGCGTCGGCGGAGTCGTGAGTTGGGGGAGGTGCGGATGCTGTTGGGTCATCGGTCATGATTTCGGGGGACGGATCGACGCGGCTGGTGACTGGAGATAGGGACGGGAAGTGGGATTGCCGTAGATTACTCGGGTTGGAGGGGGCATGATGGTGTTGCTTGTGAGTCGATCCGGTGGAGGATTTGCTGCTTCCGGCTCGTTGATGTGCAGAGCTTGTAGGCGAGGTGGGAGGTGACCATTCGGTTGGACTGAGAGGATCGAGGGGTTTGCCCTCACGTTTGTCGGACATTGGAGGGCATTCGGCTTTTCAGCAAGGAATGATAGATGTAGTGGAGGGGTTGGAGGGATTCGGCTTCGGCAATGCTGCTGTGATATTGAACCTGGTCGTGAGTTTCAGATCCCTTTAAACAAGTAGTCGAGGTTCATCTAGAGGCAATTGTCAATTGCGATTCTCTATATGCATTTTAGAATCCTGGATGATGAATATGGATTATTTACCCCGGAGATTAGCGGTGTTGTGAAGTGGATATCGAGATTGTCTGGAAGGTCTGGTTCAAGTCTGTGGGACAAGCTCTTGAACAGCAGGGATGAAGATATCATTCGTTCCGCGATCAGGTAGTTTGATTTACGATCGAAGTGCGAAGTACAGACAATGGCATTCTTCATTATTAATACCAGAACAGTGCTGTATCATAACTATCTCTCGTTCACGAACGTGAAACAAAAAGTCTTATTATATCGTGTCTAGCTATCTTTCCTTCAAACTTCTCGACTCACTTAGTAGAGCGTGTTCCTCAACAGCTGGAGTCCATATCCATCTACACCCAATAAGGCCAACACCCTCAGAACAATGGCATGGTCCTCCGGCTTTGATATCCCTCCGCCCTACGTTAGCAGTACTACATAAGTTGCCCAAGACATCTCACACGATACATTGCTATATTAAATGTAAAGACAGCCAGGAAATTATCCGACCAACTCGACACCGGCCACCATTGCCCTCGATCACTTTTCTTGACTACACAGCGCCAAAGTTAATGCCGACAAACCTCAACACCATCAGTGGACTCTACAATAGGCCAATCAGCCTGGAAACAGTCCCGAGTGTGACGAGGTCAGATCCTTGCGGATAGCATAGTTCAAATCCCCCGATACCACCTTCCCCGGTTGGCGCGAACACAAAACTCGAGATCAAATGCCAGTAAAACTTGACGTTTTCCCGTAGATCACGACGTGGTGTCCCCAGATACTCACCGCCGTATCGTTATAGGAGATGGAAAAGCCATTGATCTCCCGACGTAGTTCTTTCTCGCAGTCAACCAGCTAGAAGAGTGTGTACAGACCGCGCAAGCTGACCCACTGAGCGTACACATTTTGTCGATCCACAATGTCGAGTTCGCCATCGCTGCCTTTACCTCGCTCGTGAGAAATGGAAAAATACATCCGATCCGTGGCCGCAAAGAACGAGGCGCTGGCGAGAAGGTCGGCAAGAAACGGTTGGAGCTTTTGCAGCTGTCCGGAATGAAACGCATCTCGGCAGAATCCCAGTCCGAAATCGGCTGCGGTCGCAGTCGGAGGAAAGAAGCGGCATTGGAAGCAGGAGGATTGATGAAATGGATGGCATTCTCCCAGGATGCATTGGTAGTCTCTCGGAGAATGGCGAGGTGGTCGGCTCCAGTGTCAGCCAGTATCTGAGCCGACGGAACAATGAGGTGCGCAATATCGCGGACTACTGGTGTCTTGTTCTCGCCCTGGATTCGTCGACACGCTTTCTTGAACAGTTCATTGTCAGAGAAAAGGGTCCAGAGAGGCTCGGGTTGAGCTTTCGTCAAGAGCTTCTGGCACAGTTATTGGCTTTCTCAGGTAGTGTCGAGTTGGTAGTCATCCATAAAGCTTCCTAACTCTTTCAGTTTGAGTTCAAATAGTGGGTGCTTATACGGGACACACTACTGATTATGCGAGATGCTGCTCGTACTCTGGTTCGGAGTTATTTCCGAGATAGAGGCGTTCGCCCGTTCCAGGCTTGGGGATCGATTTCGTGCACGCGTAGGGTTGACAAGCTCGATATCAGGTATATTCAAACCGTACAGGTTTGGAAGGATATCGCCAGGTCGGTAACCATGGCCTTCTCACCCGGCAACCGATTTGATGCGGTGTGAAGGCTTAACGATATCGATGGTGTTAAGGTCGTGATTGTGAGTGGTATCAATGCATTTCCGACCTCGTTCGAGACGGACTCGAACCAAAACCCCGTCGCGGCGAATTTCAGTCCCATGGAGGAACTTCAGACATTTGATCGCCTGTCGAATCTTCTTATTCCACACGCCCTTGCCTTGGGGCTTTTGTTGGCCCGGAATAAGCGACACAACAATCGCCAACGGAGAAAGGAATAACCATCGACCATCTTAAGGGAATCGGCGGATTGATGTATCCAGACATTCAAGACGGAGTGCCAGTACAAATAATACTCCTCTGCTGAGAGCACATAATCTTCCTCCATCTTAAAGAGTTTCTCTCTCCATATTGCCGCGTCGGAGAGGGAGACCGCAGCGGCGGGTGTGGAGGAGAGACCGGCAGATACCGTCCAGGCGATCGGAGGCAAAACACCCCCGAAAAGTGGCGATAGGTGTTTTCCATACAAATTAAAAGCTTCATGTTTGGCGTTCCATTCACTCTAGATTTGACCGAGGCAAGATGGGTGAATCGCGGGACCTGGGATCCACGTGACTGACGAGGGCCCCTCACTGTTGAATGTTAATGAAATTTTACGATCTCTGCGTGATCAGACGCCATTCCGTAATTAGGCGATATCTGTACAGGAGACGAATGTATTCATAATCTGGAGTCCAGGCCTTATCTAAGGATTCCAAAGTGTCAATTGAAGATATACGGTATCAATCCTGTCTCTATCAGCATGCATCCAAGCCGTTCTCATCCAAAGCCGTACCATTGCCCATGCTTGTGCCCGACTTGCTTCAGATGTCCAACCTGTTTGAACCCGAAACTTTCATAGAACCTCGCCAGGCCCCATCCGCCACCTCTCCCAGTCTCGTTCAAGGACATGCAGGCAATAACCTGCCGGATCCGAGTATCCTCATCGCGTGGGACGGGGATATACTCGGGAAACCGTTCCGGATTCTTCAAGATGTCAATGAGCTGCGTCAACAGCGCGCTGCCAACTCCTTGTCCGATGTGATCGGGATGGCAGAACAGTGTCAGCTCTACCGTGTGCATATAACCGCCTTTTGCACCCCGAAATCCGGAAACGGAAGCACAGCCTAAGTTCTTCCCATGTGCATCGATGGCAACGATGTATGGAAGTCCACTCGCTATCACGTTATTGTACCCTTGACGAACCTCGTCCTCGGATTGGGCTTCCAGGCGGAATGTGATGAGAGTGTTATGCACATAGTGTTCCAAGATCTCAGTAAGGGCTTCGCAGTCCGATTCATTGGCTGGTCTCAGAGTAAAGTCCAGCTTCTCTGCCATGTTTCTGGGAATAATTATAAGGATGAGGAATAGGATCACTCTCAGATAAACAATAGAATCAGGATAGAATTGAGGAATGAATCACAGCCTAAGGAAGCACTTGCGTAGGTAGGACACAGCGGTTATCTTTTATTACCTGATGTGAATCCATCTCCGTAATCCGAACTGATTCGCTCCTTGTATCTGATTGGCAGATAAGTTGAATGCGGACTTTCATGTGTTCAGAACTGCAGATTCCGATCAGCCACGCCAAGTTGCTGGAATTAAATACGGGCTGTTCCGCCGATACTAGTTTAGTTAGTACGCTGTACGGAATATCAGCAAAAGGAGCCAGAAGAGCCAAAAGACATGGGGTCCTCCGCTTGGAATATTTTCCTCTGCGTTCCCAGACTCCCTCACCTGCTCTCTCCATTATCATTCACCAACCACCAGCTCTCTCCCTCACACTCATCTGATGCATCTTCATGATCTAATTGTCTATGCCCCACCAATCCACCCTCTTTAAATTCTTTGGTGAAAACCAGAATGCGGCAGACTCAGATATTCTCTGGGTCGTCGCACCCGCGCCTGGTTGAGGATATCTGCGACTTGCTGGGCCAAAAACCCGGTGATGCCACGCTAGGAAAATTCAGCAATGGCGAGACGAGCGTCCGGATACGTATGATTGCCATTGTTCCGCCTAAGGCATGAGTGGTATATGGACGGTTGGCTGATGGATGGACAGAGACTTCGATACGCAATCAGGATGTGTTCATCGTGCAGAGCGGAAGTCAGAAGTGCGTGGCTGAGCTCGTGATGCGCTGCCAACCATTGAAGCTGACGACAAGTATAGGATCAATGACAGCGTAATGGAATTGCTGATCATGATCTCCGCCTGCAAAGGCGGTTCCGCCCGCTCCATCACCGGTTTGTCGTTCCTCCCCTTCGTAGACCATCGATTGAACCCGGCCTAACCGTCCTTCAGCCGTTCTACCTTACTTCCCCTACAGCCGGCAATCCAAGAAAAAATCCCATCGCGGCGCCATCACCGCCCGTATGCTCGCCAACCTCCTCCATATCGCCGGCGTCAACCACGTGATGACAATGGACCTACACGCCAGTCAGATGCAGGGGTTTTTCAAGTGTCCCGTGGACAACCTGGTGGCCGAGCCATTGATTGCGAGGTGGATAAAGCAGAATGTGGCTGAGTGGAATCAAGCGGTGGTGGTGAGCAAGAACCCAGGAGGGACGAAGCGAGTCACGAGCCTAGCAGATGCACTAAAATTGAGTTTCGGGATCGTCACGACGGATCGGAGGAGGTTTAATACAAGTATGTGGACGGATCAGAGCATGACCGGAAGCTTCATGCTGGAGAGACTCGTCGATGGGGAAGATGGGCAAGATGACGAGAAAGACGAGGAGCAGCCACGATCCAATCCGATGTCACCCCCTGTTCTCCCGCTATACGCACCCGATCGAAAACCTGAAGGGGCCATCAATGCACGAAGACCCCCAGCCCGTATGCCAGGCACTCCTAGCAGAATGCATGCGAACCGCGATTCCGATGTCCCCAGCTCCCCCCTCGCCAAATCCACCCTCCCATCCTCCTCCCACAGTTCTGCTTGTCCGTCACCGTTGATGCGTAGCCAAACCGCGCCAGCGACCGGGACCAACTCCCCACCATCTGACCACGAAGAAGAATTCATCGACGAGGTAACCATCCCCCACCACCTCTTCGCATGATACGTTCACTCCGAATGATTAGAGTATCGTCACTAATATACCCAACCTTCAGCGGGCCCGCGACGTCATCCACGGCCGCTTCATCCACGGCCACATCGTCGACGACGACGACCCCTCTCCGGCCTTCTCCGCCACCTCCCACAGCAACACCCCCTCCCGCCACCGCGCGCTCTCCGACCTCCGCGACGACGACCCCATCCCCGACCACATGATCTCCTCCACCCTCTCCGTCGCCAGCAGTATTTACCCGCGCGAGCGCGACCCGCACGGCCTCGGCGGCAGTGGCGACGCGGAGGCGTCCTCGGAAGAAGAAGAAGACGAGCTGCGCAACCCGGAGCTCGAGACGACGATCACGCTCGTGGGGAACGTGCGCGATCGCCCGGTGTTCATCGTCGACGATATCATGGACAAGGCAGCGAGCTGGGTGGCGGCGGCGGAAACGTGCGTGAAGCGCGGCGGGGCGACGCGGGTGTACTGCATTGCAACGCACGGGATCTTCGGGGACGAGAGCCTCGAGGAGATCGAGGCGTGCGAGTGCATCGATAAGGTGGTGGTGACGAACACGTTCCCGATCACAGAAGAGCGGGCGCGGCGATGTAAGAAACTGGTGCAGTTGGATGTGAGTCGGTTGTTGGCGGAGGCGATCCGTCGGAACAAGCATGGGGAGAGTATGAGTCGGCTATATATGCATTACGATTGATGAACGGGAAATACAAGAGGCGGGAGAGCAGGCGACGAAGATCGCGATGTGGTCAATGATGCGGAGATGCATTTCTCCATGACAGCATAGCGAGGTGTCTCCGGCGCTGGCAAACCTTGACTTCAACCTTCCATGCGGTTTAGACGCTGACTGGCCCTCCGATTTCTCTAGATGCATTTGCTGTTAGATGCAAATCACGGAACTGACGATTGATATGCCTCCCTGCCTTCCACCTTGCCTTTCGTGCTCCCGTACTGATTCAGGTGGTTTCAGGCATCTGCCGCAGAACCATGACACACCAACGATGCAGATTTTTAGATCTGCAGGGACCTTTCATCAATGAGAGTCGTCCTTAACGGAGCGTTGGGAGATTGAAGAGGCGAAAGTTTCTTTCACTTGAGATTGTTCATTTCTGCGCTGTCATTCCATTCATGGACTGCGCAGGCTTAGACGACTCATACATCCATTTATGTTTAATTAACTTCTGGTCCGGTTGTGCGCATGTCAGGGATTCAGTGCTTGATACCAGTGGGGAGTTGAAGTCCTATCATGCTATCTATGCAATAATGCGATGTACCATCCCTCGGGATGCCTTTCTGTACCCACCGCCACCTATTCCTAAATACAAATCTTAAGTTTGATTCGAACGGCTGCGATTGTGCCCTGATGAAGTTCACTGTCAACCAGTCTGTTGAAACAGATATCTGGCCGAAGTTGTCTACGATGCACTGAGCGTGGCCTCTCAGCGTAGGTATATAGTAGAATGAGAGGTCAGGAAGATGGTATGCGGTGTATTTTGGCAATCTTTTGGTCTTTGGCTGATGCGATGACTGGCATTGGTATATATCACGCTGGACCTGGCTTCATTGCGACCTGTACTTCCCACATCAGGGGACTGCATGCTGGAGAGATTCTGATATTAAATTCGGCTGACTCATTGTTATAAACTTATAATAGTACATGTTTACTATACTGAGAAATAGAATGCCCCTCCTGATATCTGTATATCCATAATTGTGTAGTACCGTCTTCCAAGTAAGAGATACAACGAAGGGAAACGGTCCTTGCGGAGAAATTCGAATCTGAGCGAATGAGTATGAAACGAAAAGTTATGGATGCGCCAGTTCCTTAGTCCTCGCGGACAGTCCGTATAGAGTATATGACGCCCAGCAAACATATAAACAAGAGGCCCGTCGGAGGGACACGATATATCAACGGTACATGTGTGATGAGAGTTGAGCGTGGCCTCCAAATACTATCAGATATTGATTGACCTCCTAGCCATAAGACTCATGCGCCAAGATCCTTCGACGTCCTTCCACCCAGTCAAAGTGGTAAAAGTCGAAACAGGAGCAGAGGAAACGCGATTCTTCATAGAGGTATAGAAAGGGAGTCGTATATCGCTTCTCAGAACGCGATTCAACAAACAGGAAATTGAACGGGGGGGAGACGTTTGGCATAATATACGAGAAAGGGGAATCAAGATCGTGGGAATTATGGAATTCGTCTGGTTGCTTTTGCAGCACGGTCAGTGAGACCAAGTCCAATTTACCGTTAACTCCGTTCCGTCCTGCCCAGCAGAAGAGAAAACAATTGAGAAAGCGCTGTGGAAACGAGAGCGCCTGAATCATAGAGAGTCCATTGAGTCGTGCGAAATCAAGGATGTGATGTAAGATGTTGATCGAATGGGGTCGGGATGGCGGGAAGCCGAAGGTGGGAACGTTGCCATGGAACAGGGAGAAGGGCCGGCCGGGATTGAACGCCCTGGTCGCACGCGTAGCCCAAGCGAGACATGGCTGCATTGTCGATCCTCGCATGGGGAATCCGCCGAAGACTCGAAACCAATTTGGGAGCCCGCTGCAGGCAGTCCTTCATCGTGGATTCATGGGATTTTTCTTTTCTTTTCTTTTTCGCTTCAAATCGTCCCGAACACCGTGCGGGGGCGTATCGTTTTGGTGGTTCTAATGCGCTGCAAATCGCCGTTAGCGTGAACTGCGGAAACGTCGATGATTTCGAGGCTCGCATGAATGGGATTGGCGTGGTGCATGGAAAACCGACTTCAGCGTCGATCTGGATCTTGCATCGATGGTGCCATGGTGCAAGCGGCGGGTAACGCAGAAGAAAGGGCCTGCAGCGGGACGTTGCAGCAGCACAACCAGGAAGAGGACGAACAAGGAATTGGTGGTACGTACCGACTGTCGATCTCGAACGATTTTGGCTGGGGGATCGAAGAGCAACAGCTCATGCCTTTACAGAACATGGTCGGCAAGCTTTGAATTTGCATTTGGTGCATTCCCAAATGTACCAATGTGGTCCAGAGTGACACAAGTTGCAATTCCAGAGGACGATGGTCGTGTCGGATTTGATCATAACGAATTCATGCGAGCAACTTGCAGAATGGGCAACCGCCATGATGCCGTGGGATGGATTGGTTTGAGGTATGAGAATTAAGGGGCAGGAAATCGTCCTCTGCAGAATGATTTGGATGTTTGCTTTCCTGGATAGAAAACTCCGGAAAGCAGGCCTCGCAACTCGTCATGAAATTCCAATTGTTTGATAGAGAGCCGCGTTGACGCAAATGACGAGGGGTTGGCGAAATACCTGGAATGGCAACCAACTTCAGTTCAACGAACGTATAACAAAGTGATATATATTAAAATAGAGACTGACCTTCACAACTGCGTGCACCAACACTTCGGTCGTCTTCTCTCCGCTCCTAGCACAAGTGCTGGACAATTGGTTGAACTAATCAAAAGAAAATTCACCGGATCCCGCCTCAAGAAACGTGCGTGGCTCGATGTCGATCGAGGCGGTCGAGGAGCCGTTCCACTGGGGGAGGAAAGCTGGAAAGGCCCAAAAAACAATGCGAGAACTGAAGCCACAGAAAAGGACTGCGAGTCAGCACCACAGCTGCAAGGTCTCAGTCGCAAGGACGGGATTTAATAGCCAACGAATAGGATCGCGACCGTTTCTCTCTATCACCAATTGTCCCTTGACAAGGCTAGTGGAGACCGGGAGTAGTGAGGAGCAGAGGGCTGAACGATTCAAGCACGACACTTGAATGGGTGAGGGCGGTTCGTGCCAACAGCAAAAGAAATGACAGCTGCACAACTGCACAGCGGATTTATTTGGGGAATTGGATCAAATGTCGTTGGCGTGTGCCGCGCTGCTTTAAATCTTCTTTTCTAATAGAACGGAACCCAAATGGACCGGTCTGAACTGTAATGGAAGTTTGACTTGGATGCGAGGAGGCCTGGAGGCTGATTGGTCCACAGCAAATTCCCTGAGAATGGACTGGGTAGAGGTCGATGAGGAGAAGATGGCGGACGACGAGGTCAGTCAAAACTCGGTTTGATCGAGATTGGAGAAAGAGGACATTGGTATGGAGCTTTATATATCAGACCTTCCCTATACCTCAGCCCTCCGTACGTCGGTGGCCCAGGTCGATCGAAGGACAACCGTAGGTATGAAACTGTATTCGTCCAAGGCCTCCATTTGGATCATCAAAGACCGGATCCCCGAAACGCCACGATGGCATCGGGTTGACACAAACCGAGCCTCCCCCATCCTCCGGTCTTCCAGAAGGGGTTCTTCCATCTCTCCCCGGCCCGTCTTTCTATGCAGAGTGCCAGTCTAACAAAGAACATCCGTCTGTGCCGTTGAGGGTACAGATAGAGGGGTGAGAAAGCAGAAAGAGGTTAATCATCACCCTGTCGGGGTGGTGCGTGCGCGGATGTAGGCGACAGGACTCAGGACTGTCAGGTTTCTAGAAAGAAAGTGCTAACTGCTAAGTCAAACGGGAATGTGTGGATGACAGGGCGTTGACAGATCCGGAAAACCGTCCCACTTCACAGCCCAGACCAGGGCCGAAGCTTGGGTGGTCATACATTTAATACTGAGTACGGTACCTTAACGGCATGAACCCTGCTCCAATCTCCTTGTAAAGGGGGCCATCCTGGAAGGAGGTCAGTCTGGGGTCAGGACAGGAGTCCACGGCCAAAGCAGATCAGAATAAACAGGAACTGTCGTTTACGGAAGAAGACGGCTATCGAGAATGATTCAAGTGAAGTTGAGGCAGTCGGTCGAACAACCAGGGGTTGGCTGATGGCTCAGAGACAAAATGTCCCATCAGCCGCTGCATTGGGTTGCAGACTTGCAGGCTTGCAGCTCCAGCTTCCAAGTCGTTGATCCTTGTCGAAATCGTGCATTCGTTAAGATCTATGGTTACGTTCCTTGTCTTCGACGAGCCGTCAAGCGCCGTCCCCATGTTGTCAGTCATCAGTCTTGCTGTCAACTCTAGTCAATCCCTAACAAAGGCAAAATGTTCGATTTCCACCGGTAGGCGTCCTTTTCATCCGATACCTCCTCGCTGATGATGTTGGTGTGACAACAGCTTCGCTTCAGTCCAAGATGGAGGACGATCAAAAAGGAGAGAATCGTGTAGTGGACGAGTTTAGTGGGCCGTCAAGGATTGACCCTCAAGAGTCAAGACTTCTTTGACAATACCTGCATGACAGCATCCCATTCCCATTCTGCTTCCTTTTGCTGCTCTCGTGCAGTGGGAATCCTGCTCGTGTTCTCCCCGCTGTAGGCCAATCGGGAGCTTCGGGGAAATGATATAAGAATACCAAGTACCTTGTGTTGGGTATCTCGAGTTCACACCGCCCGTTCGATACGACGGATCAGGCGCCGAATCAAGAAATGCCCTGAGTGTAAAGGAGTGAGGATGGGCTGATCCGATGGGACGGTGGCGTTCAACGGCTCCAACCAGAATGGCCGAATCGCTAGCCAACTCGCCATTCGGGAACACCACTAACCCGGTAGTGTGGAACATGGAAAAGGGCTTGAAGAAGCATAACTGCTAATACGAGATATAAATTTACAGGCGCATAATTTGGCGATGAATCGCCGTCTGGTGGATGTGTAAGTTGATATCCTCAGGTGGCTTAGGCCCCAATCTCACATCATCACCAGACCTCATCACATCAATTGACTTCAACGACGACCAAGGCTCAAACAGTCAAGCTAAAAGTACTCCATGTCACAGGAAAATTTGCCCGTCTCATCGACACTGTACGTGATCGCGTTGAATTCTGTTCCATCAACTTCGGGTTTCGGCAAGCATCCGCTAAATAAACTGTGTTAACTTTTAACTCTACCCCTTCTCAACACTGTTTCACCCTCAGTCCCTCACTTTCTGATCCTCGATTGTAATAGCGAGGAATCTCACACTCTCTGAATCTCCGATATCTTACCGTATGGTATTTTGTCCCGCTCTCCAATCACATTTAAATCCTGGATGGCGGAGACTTGAATGGCTCTAGGCATCGAGAAGAGCTCGGATCTCGCTACCCCGGCCCGTGTGGCTGGTGGTTGTGCTCTACATGCAGCGACATGCAGAAGCCGCTGAAAATGTGGGCTTGCCGGCTCATTATCAAGCAGCACAGATTCATTATGCACTCGGGGCTTTGCCGCTTTGGAGTCGTCAGCAGGGCGCGGTTCCTACCCGTGAGACATCGGTGGATTGGGTGGCTACTGCGCTTGCAAAGGACCCAATGTTTGCAATCAGGGAAAGATCGGAGCCTCACGGTCAATCGGATATTGCAGAGAAATCAAGACCTCTTGAGAGCAAGTATTGTACTCCTTCAACCGCAAAGTACGACGTATATCATGATCGTTACTAAACAATTTAGCATGCGCGGTTCCGATTAAGTACTCACTCTATCTCTATATGGTTCAAGATGGACGTTGTACGACGAATGCATTCGCTACACAATCCTAGAGTCACCTAACCGATCCAACGTGTCCTGTCTTCGAACACACCACTGCTCAAACCCTGTGCAGATCGTTTCTCATCAGTCACTGGGCCAAAATCCGTTTTGTCACTATCAGGGATGATTCAAGCTAGGTGAATCGTTTCTTGCCATTTTGCCAAATGCTCGACCCACGATCGTCGACCACTATCAGCAAGCCAAATGACGGTTGTAAGCGAAAAGCAGGCAAGACATTGACCATTGGAGACTGGAGCAGATATGCTTGGTAGCAGCAAAGCTATCATTTCGTATGGGATGAGATCAGCTGCCCATGGCCCTTTTTCGTTCCGATATCGTCGGGAATCTGGGGAGGGCGTTTCCACATGAAGTGTCCAACATATGCCATCCCTGCCACTTCTTCTTAAAGGAGCTAATATTTGGTCAAGAAGCGGAGATGCTTCCTTTGTCAGTCGTACCGTGAAGAAATTGACTCACCTCGATCACTAGAATCCGGCGAACATCCTCAATATGTGGACAGTTATCACGCCCCCTTCTACGACCCTGGAATGCGGAAGTTACCGTTAGTATTTGGTCCGCAAGAGCATAGTATATCTGATCTAATATCACCCGCTGGGATCAACCTCACCATATTCAGACAGGAGAGATGCGAGGTAGGATCGAGGCGTGTTTAACCACCGCCATTGAAGTCGTACAACGATTCACTTTTTTTTTTTCAGGCGCAGCTCGAAAACTAAGACATGATATCGGCCACTCAAGCCCCTCTCCGGATACAAGGTCTTGAGTTTCGGATTGATCTACAGTGCGTCGGTACATTCCTCCATTGGAGCATCGGAGAGGCATCTGATGTCCCTTCGTGCTGTTTTATGCAATCTGAGACTGTTACGGCGTTCTGAAACGTACTGCTCGGCCCCCACACACTTTGAACTTACACTGAAGAGTATGTAGATCAACTACGGTTAACAAGATCTTCAATTAAGAGCAGCGATTGGCATAGTCTAAGGCGCCCCAGAGGGAAGCAGCGTATGCATCTGGACGAAGATTGCTCGCTGAATACCAACAGTGTGACAATGTGTCGTTTTTCTTGTCATGTGTTATTTCGAGGGTGTTTGAAGTCGTTTATTCCCTGTCCAGTCTTGTTATATTCGGTTCTCCAGGGGAAACTCAAATCATTCGCAAACTATGAGCCTTCCGTCACAGTGAGCTCCATTTGCCCCACCTCGATTTTCTTCTCGTCAAACATATCACCAAGGAGAATTTCATCTCAACTGTTCAACACGCTGCTTCGAATCCAGGTCAACCCTTGTCCGAACCCCGCCACAGTTACACAGCATGGTCGATTCAGGCGGTCCACAAATGCCAGATCCATGCGGCGACGACTTGTCACATCGTTGTACGGTGAGACGTCGGCAACCGGCAGCGAGACGCTGTGTGCGCCGAATCTGCAGTAATTTCCCGGTTCGCGGTTGAGTGGCGTGGGACGGAACGGTACGGCGCAGGATGGACATGCAGAAGGACGACCTGGTGCAATCGACTAGGGCACGGCGCTGGTAAGGTGATATGTCATTAATCATTATGCTATCATTGGACTTCGGTGCGATCCGAAGAATCTGAACTGAGGTAGGACCGGCATCTATGTCGGATGCGATTGGGGTCGGCAGATATTTGGAGCCTCGATCCCTCTATCTATCCGTGCTGGACGACGCAACCCAACGAATCGACAGACTCTCGGCATTCTCATCTTTTCTGCCCATATACAGGCACTCAAGTTCTGCCACTGTCATTTCTCCGTCCCGCGGGATTCCCTAAGATCTGCTCTGATCTTGTCATTTCTTAGACTGGCATCCTCAGAGAACGTCCGACATCAAGCCAGCACAGCCGTCCACCAAAGTTCCCGGCTAGCCTAGCTCTCTCATCTCATGGTCCATTCCGACCCAATATCCACGGCCTCCACTTTTCATTGAGCCCCAGGAGCCGTACGGCTGTACGACCTCCGATGCCTAGAGATCCCGTCGCCCTCTACGCGGAGTGTCCCCACCTCAGACATATCGCAGGTGGCGGGTGTATCGCAGGTTGTGCCGGCACTATGGTAGCTCGATTTGCATTTGGAGCACTGTTTGGTGAACGTTTTGGAGAAAAATGACGTGATGATGGGTCCCAGGACGGAGACGATGTAGACGGTGGGGAGAGGGAGGGGGAGGGAAGTTCGTCGATGTAAGGGACGGTTTGGGTTTATAGGCGCATAGGGAGCCGATGTCTGAGATGAGGGATTGGAGTACATTTCTGGAAATTTTGATGGAAGCTTATGTGAGGTAATATTGATAGGAGGATTGAGATTTAGATGACTGAGATTTGGATGGTTGAGATCTGGATGATTGGGATTCGATATCAAGGAGTCTGATGCGCTTTGTTCGGGTTTGATAATGTTTATCGATCATCATACAAATGCCTTCACTCTTATACTTACCTCGAAGGTCAATCACCACTCCCTATTTCTAGTTTGACGTCCGAGTTCGTCCATCAAAGGTTCGGCATCATGTTTGTTAGCCTATCCTCCCCCGACGCCAAGATTCCTCTCGCGGTTCTTTCCCGATGGAGCTCAAAATGCAAAATACATATATGCCGGCACATCAATGTAGATGGCAGTACATCGTCTCAAAGATTCCTCTCGCGATGCTTTCCCAAAGGAGGTCAGACTTGCCAACGCGCCTCGAAGCCGGCGTATCAGAGCTCCCGCTAGAGGGAGAAATATGCACAAAAATAGCTTTTGGTAGGGGATGGACCCTGGAAGCGGTAGAGTAGCTTAGGCTATTCCACATCCTGCCGGGCGTAGTCCGGACGGCCCCCAAATTCGATGCATGGATTTTTGAGAAGCGCGCTTCGAAAATCGAGATGCATTGAGACGCAGGATATATGTGAGGTGATTCCGTTTCGTTTTACCATCTAAGCGAGATGCTCAATGACGATCCAAATTCTAATTTCTATTGTTAGCAAATCGCAACACTTGGACTCACGCTTGGAGCTGCTTGATGTTGTGTTGCAAATGCTGTTTTAGCCCTTCACTTTCAGCCTTGTTGATCATGACGCTACGGACTGTATGGGGCGCAGCCAACACCGTAATTCTGGCCCCTTCTGACCTCCACACTACAACACTGCGTTCTGCGAGGCAGAATGCTGGGCGAACACTGTTAGGAAGAAATGAGGCTCCTTTTCATGAGGCTCAGCATGTTGATTGGGCCGCGGAGGCGCAATTCACAAGCGCGAGGTGGCGTAGATGTCTCGATCAAGCAGTATGTCGCGCTCGTTTCGTGAGGATGACTGATTACCATTGACCGTATAAGAAACGACCAGGTCATTGGTAAGCTGGCAACACGGGGAATATGATAGATAAGGAGTTTCTGCCCATCTGAACATACAGAAGAAGGGATATTACCTTAAGTTTATACTCCTCGATGCGACAATTGCTTTGCATCCCTCAGTCTCTACCATTGTCGACAATATTCATCCGCGGTCTCTAGAGTATACGACAATTACAACTTCCCGTCTACGAGATCCAACAAGCATCACGAACATCACCTATCGAGTCCCTCCTTTCCCTCGACGATCGACAACCACAATGCAACAGCTCCCCCCCTTCCAAACCATCTACATCTCCACCTCCCCCTTCGACATCCACGTCTCCCGCCCGCGCCCCCTCCTCCTCACCTTCCCCCAACCCCAATATCCCTACGCCCCGCCGCGCCCACCCCCCCCCGTCTTCTCCACCTCCTACCCCTCCTACGGCCGTCCCTTCTCCAGCAAACCCACCGTCGCCATCCACCGCGGCGACCCTTCCGGCCCCGTCATCGGCACCGGGCACGCACCTACCCTGGGATCTACATGGAGCATCGCCTTCTTCGGCCTCGGCGGCGAGGGGAAGATGAGCTCGGAGATGTTCGCGCAGAGCTACACGGCGTTTCTACCGGCGGCGCCGCCGTCGGTGGGAGGAGGCCTGGGGTGTTTGACGTGGAAGCGCACGAAGCAGCAGGGGAAGGGGATGAAGTGCGTGGACGAGGGGGGGAACGTGGTGGCGTGGTTTACGAAAGCGCGGGGGACCTTGTGGCGGCCGAAGGAGGAGATGGGGACGCTGGAGGTGCGGAATGGGTTGAGTGCGGCGGTGTTTGAGGCGATGGTGATCTCGTGGATCGTGGTTGGGGAGAAGATGCGGAGGGAGAAGAAGGGGCGGGAGGCGGGGTTCGA